TGGCACATAGGTTGAACGGAAGACAATAACACCACCATTGTTATTGTAACCCTTGTCAATGGGCCCTATACCACTTCCCCTTTGCACAACGCGTTTTGCAAAGTCCTTTGCCCAGGTGACACATCCTTGGATCTGCATTATTACTCCCACTTAACAGGTGAGGAAATTGAGGCTCAGAAAGGGAAGTCACTTTCCCAGAGCTCCTGGCTTGTAAGTAAGTGGTGAAACAGGACTGTAAGCCGGGTCTGCCTGACTCCTCGCTTTGGCAGCTCCGACGCATCTGAGAATTTCCCGTGTCTTCATTGCCTCATTTAAACGAGCCGGCACGGCCTCTGTCCCTTCAGCCTCTGCCTCCACCCTCTCCCACACCCACACCGCCATCTAGACGGCCAGGCCCGCCAGCCAACCCCTCCCTCCTTCCTGACCACGTCGCCAGCCCTCAGGGCAGCTTAGGAGCCAGGAGCTTGCAAGTGGCTTCCAAAGGTCATCCTGTCCACCCCCAACTCCCCTCCCAAGCAGGGGACTGTTCGTCCTGTTCTTCACGCTGAGCCCCACACCTGCACTTCCGCCAGCTTCCCTGGGGGTTCATCACAGCTGCCACAGCCAAGAAAATCTACCTGCTGTCCAGCCAGAGTCCCTCCTGCCAAAGGGGTAGCCCGTGTCCCTTTGTTCTTTCTCTCAGGAGTGTCAGAAACGCAACCTGGGGAGTACACTTGAGGCCTGGAGAGAGGGACCCTGCAGTGGGGGAGGTCATTCCGGGACAGGAAGTGAGAGCTGAGTCCAGGTTCAAATCCGGGTCAGGGTGGCAAGAGCGGCCCAGCCAGTCTCCCGGTTCCCAGGGTGGCCTCAGCCCAGGCGGGGCCACCTCACCCACAGCCTGAGGGCACCCAGCGCTCCCCGCCCCTGTGGCTCATGGCGGGGGCTGGAGCGAGGAGCAGAGCAGGTCTGAGTGTGTGAAGAGCTCAGGCTTGGGGTTTGTGTGGAGCTGGGTTCAAATCCCTTTCCGAACATCTGTGTACGGAGCACTGCACTGGGCACCGGGGCCACAGCCAAGGTCCCAGGGATGGAGCTCCTGTCCTCATAGAGCCCCCAGTCCGGTGGGGGAGGTGACAGTACACGGACTGATACAGGAATAAACAAGGAACCAGAGTGGTGAGCGGGAGGGTGGTGAGACCCCAAATGTGGGCATGACCAGGGAAGGCCTCCTGAGGAGGTGGCGTTTGAGTGGAGGCCTGAATGACAAGAAGGAGCCAGACTTCAAGATCCGAAGGGAGAATATTCCAGGGAGATGAGCAGCCAAGGCAGACTCCGGAGACCGGAATGAGCCTGGAGCCCGAAGACCAGCTAGAAAGGAGGCCGGGGCAGCCGGCCTGCGTGGGACTCGCCAGGGCCTTGCTCCCGGATGTCAGTTTTCTTATCTGTAGAATGGGGTCGCCAGTACTGCTTACTGTGGATACAGACACACAGGCCTCGTCCCAGGTGGGTGGTCCACAAGGGGCACCTAGCATCTCATCACTGCTCTAATGTCATCTCCATCAGTGGCACCCTTCAGGGTTTAATTTCAACCCCGTCCCCAGCCCAGAGCACCCACACCAAGCGCACAGGGCCACCCAACCAGTTCGTCAAGTATGGGAGGGTGTCGGGTTTCTCTGAGTGCATGGCGCTTCACAGTTTATAAAGCCTTTCCTCTGACCCTTCCATTGCCCTCCAAAGTCAGGTTGCCATGGGAATCCTTGGAGTCATGCCCGGCACAGGGCCTGGCAGTCCCTGGCCCACAGCAGGGGCTCACAGAACGTCAAGTCCAAGTCCGGGTCCTGCCACTCACGCCCCCTTGACAAACTTTTACGTTCCAAAGGCCTTTCTTACCAAGCTTCCTCCATTGGAAAAAGGGTCACTTTCCAGCCACACAGATCCTGAAGCCAGGAGAGTTCAGGCCCTCAGCTTAGCTCTGCTGGGATCAGAAGGCACCTCCATCAAAAGCCAGAAAATTGCCGGAGCAAGAAGGGTCTTCGGGCCCGCCCACACGGAAGCGGAGCAGGAGCAGGCCGACGCCAGGCTCAGGCCAAGGAGGCAAGCCACGGACTCCTGTCTTCCTCGAGCCGCTGGTTCCCAGCGGCCCTAGGCTCCTGAAGTCCCCTGGTTTGGAGACTGCAGAGCAGACAGCCTCGGGGGCCAGAACCCCAGCCACAGACGTCCCCCCACCCTGCCATGTCCCCTCCTGCCCAGCACGACCCCACCTCCCGCCTCCTCCTGCAGCCAGCAAAGGCAGGACCCTGGGTCCTCGGCCAGGGCCGCATACCAGGGCAGGGCCTCCTGGGCAGAGGCAGGTACCACTCACTGAGAGAGGGGCTCTTCCAACACGCCTCGCTTGGATCTCCCTCCTGGGCAGGCGGGGAGTGAGGGATGTGGGCTTGGTGCACCTCGTGCAGCCCTGGTCTCCCTGCAGCCCTGGCGGTCTGACCTCAGAGCCAGCCGTCCCCGCCACCCCCTCACCAGCCCCCAGGACTCTAGCCCAGACACGAGTGCCAGCCAGAATGCAGACACACCAGGGCAGGCTGAACACTCGTTTCCTCTGCTTTGCCAACCTGGGCTCTCGCCCTGCAGACTCGGCACTGGAAGGGCAGAGGCCCCTCGGCCTTCACTCAGTGCAGGAATCCCGTTCTTGGACTTCCGGGGTTCCTTAAATTCTCAAGAGACAGAGGCCTCGCCAGCTCCCAGGGGCCCCCATGCTCGGGCTATGCAGCTCTGGCACAGGAAAAGCCACCATTTTTTTTTTTTGGCAACTTCTTTTGGGCCATGCACTATGTCAAGCTTACATAGTTTATTTCACTGTGGTTTCATGAAGTAGGTATGGTTTTCACCATCCCCATGTTTTCAGAAATGCTAACTGATAACTAGAGCCACTGCCTTGCCTTAAAATCACACACACACACACACACACACACACACACTCACACACACCCCACCTCTGTCCAACAGGAGGGCCAAACAGCGATGACACCTCAATAGCAGTGAGCACCCCGAACTTGGCTCCTAAACACCACTCACCGGGGAAAGGAGCCACGCGCCTCAGAGAAATGGTGGATTCTACCACCGAGGCAGGGGAAACACAGGGTGAGCTGGGAGCATCTTCCAGTGCCAGAAAGTCAGGAAATGCTCAGGAAACGAAAGGATGGGAGGACGTCACACCCACAGGAGCTAATGTGGAAGAGCTCCCAGTGGCCCACAGTGGGACCATTTACGCAACAAAATAAATCCCTTAGGACTGAATCATAACCCCAAGGGGAAGAGAGATACATGCCTGGGTCGACACTGATAGGAAAAAGTGGCTGGTTCAATACATTGGGGGTGGGGGAAGAGGGACAGGTCTCCCTGACAGGAGAATGCCAAACACTGGGGGTGGATGCACCCTCCGGGAGGCGGGGCCTGCCTCCCACCCCACCTTACACACTCTGTGGCGAGGGCTCCGCCTGCCCCCACGGAGCAAAGCCCGGCACCCACCGCCGTCCACCACGCAAAGGAGACGGACACCCCCAGGAACAAGTCACGTGCCTCCTGCGGTCACGTGATGAGAAAGGCACCTGGCCTCCGTGGTATTGTTGCCCCAAACCCACAATTCCCACGTAGCGGGAGAAAACCGTCAGAGAAGCCCCAGCGGAGGGACGGCCTAACGCAGCACCGACCAGAGCTCCTCAACACGGTCAAGGGCATGAAACCTAAGGGACGCCTGAGACGCTGTCGCAGCCCAGAGGGGACGGAGGAGATGTGGGGCCTGAGTGCAGTGTGGGCCGTCCCGAAGTGGATCCTGGGACAGGAGAGGGACGTTGGGGGCGGGGGGGGGGGGGCCTGGTGAACTGTGACCCCGTCTGGGCTTCGGGGAATATTTGCGCTCCGTGTGGCTTCCTCAGCTCCGACAGCCGCACCACGTGACGTGGGATGTGGGCGGCGGGGAAGACACGGAGTGTGCGTGGAGCTCTCCGTACAGCCCCTGCCACTTTTCTGTAACTAAACGCTCTATTTAAAAAAAATCACTCGGGTGCAAACATCTGAGCCGGAATTTAAACTCAGGATGTGCCCGCCCCCGTAGCCTGCACTCTCCACTCCCCTGCACCGTCTCGAGTTAGAAAGTCACCCCAGAGGCCTCCTTGCGGGCAGGGGCTGCTCCCCGCTCACCCGCATCCGCCCTCTGGGACCACCCCGACTCACGTCTGCTCTGCCCCACAATCTCCGTTTGAGGGCCGAAGCTGGGTCCCTCTGCTCCTTTCCGTGACTTGGATCCCAGTGAATTGGCCTCTCCGGCGTTTATGCTTCCTCAGCAACAGCCACCGACTCCTCTGGAGGGTCCGTAGGGTCTCAGGGCTCACAATTCCCCAGCCTGGCTCCAGGGATAGAGCACACGGCCTGGACTTGGGTCTGTCAGCACACCCATGCCCTGGCCTCCGTCATCAGCCCGGAGGTGACCCAAGCTGGTCCTATCAGAGAGCGTCCCAGGACTCCGAGACTGTGGAGACAAACCCAGTTCTCTTCCTCCGTGCTGGATGTGAATGAAGAAGCTCCTTGGGGCCTTAGGATGAAGTTGACACCAAGAATGACAGAGCTGAAAAAATGGAAAGGCTGGGTCCTCAGAGACAGCAATGAGCCACCGGATCGAGCCTTGCCTGAAGCCCACCCTATGCTACACTTCTCAGTCATGAGAACTGTGGTAGACTGAGGCAAGGTCTCCCAAAATACGTCCACATTCTAATGCCTGGAACCTCTGAACGTCATCTCACCTAACAAAAAGAAGGGGTGGGTCTTTGTAAATGGGATTTCAATTAAGAATTACAAGATAGATTTTTTCCCCCAAAGATTTTATTTATTTATTTTTAGAGAGATGGGAAAGGAGGGAGAGAAACACTGATGTGTGAGAGATACATCGATCACTTGCCTCTCACACCCCCCCCAACCAGGGACCTGACCTGCAACCCAGGCTTGTGCCCTGACTGGGAATCGAACCAGTGACCTTTTGGTTGGCAGGCCAGTGCTCAATCCACTGAGCCACACCAGCCAGGGCTATAAGGCGGATTTAAGTTAAGAATTAAGAATCTGGGTGGGCCCCAAATGCAATCACAAGTATCCTTATAAAAGGGAGGCGGAGGTCTCAGAGACAGAGACCGGAGAGGTACAGCTGCCAGTCTAGGGTGCTGGCAGCCACTGGAAGCTGAACTAGGCAAGGGACAGCTCTCCCCTCAAGACTATCTCTGCTGCAGCATGGAGCCTGGACATCCAGACACCGAGATTTTGACCCACGGATACCAATTTCGGAGACTGCTGGCCTCCACAACTGTGAGAGAACACACCTCTGTTGATTGCGTCATCTAGTTTGCAGTGATTTGTTAGTGAAGCTGTAAGAAACAAGTACAAGAACTACTAAAGTGTCTTTAATATTTAAGCCTATTCAAATGTGCTATTTTGTTCATAGCAGCCCAAAGCGGTCTGATCCGAGGTCCCTCTCCCAGCCTCCCCTGGTTGAGACGGGAACTCTACAGAAGGGCACATCCCCCATGAGAGGCGGCCCAAGACCCTCCTGGTCTTCAGCTGGGGAGATGGGGCTGGGGTGGCGGGGGGGACGGACAGCATCAGATGGCTCACGGACTCCAAGCGAAGGCACCACGGGAGTTTATTTACAGATAGGCAGTAACCAGGGCCCACACAGGCTCTGGCCAGAAGACCCCAGATACATATATGCCCCGGGACCCGTTAGTACCAGGGCCTTTCCTCGCCAAGCCCCTGGTAGAGGGACCAAGAGGCAGGCAGGGTCAAGGACATGGAAGACAGAGGGCCCCAGTCCTTGCCAGATATCAGGTCACCTGCTGTGGCCCCCATGCCAGAGGAAGAAACCACCCTCGGCCCTGGGAGTGAACACGGAGAAGCGTGAGGACAGCTGTACTCTCGATGCCCGGCCACAGGGCAGAAGTCCCAGCGGCAGCGGCTTGGGGCACGGAGACACTGCAGGTCCCCTCCAGACCTGTCTGGGAGCCGGGCGTGGAACTGGTGTCCCAGGCCCCGGCTGCCCATCACGCAGGAGGCTCCCCGAGTTTGCTGGTGGCACTTGTGATCCGCTTATTCTCCCGGAGGTTTCGGAGGCGGGCGCTGAGGCTGCTGATCTCCTCCACGTAGGCCTGCGGCACCCACCCCTTCTCACCATCTGCCAGGCGGACCCCCTCCAGCCAGCCTGGGGGCACACAGGCCAGGAGCGGCATCAGTGGCATCGGAGCGACACCGGGGCCAGGTCTGCGAGGGAAGGCCCCTAGGCCCTGACACAAGTCTCATCTGCACCACTGGGGCCGAGGTGATGTCACCTGAGCATCTCCCAGCTCCAAGAAGGACCCTGCCTCTAGGATTCTCGTAGGGGAACTTCTGACCTGTCTTTCCTAACATCCTCAAAGAAGGGTACTTCCCACTCTCCCCCACCAGTCACTCTCAATCCTACATCTTTACAAGTAGGAAGTTCCTCCTCTTGTCTAACTTCACTCCAGCATGCTGTGGCTGGTTGATCAATGCTTGCATAACCTTTTCCTGTGATGTCTCAGCCGTCGAGCTCCCTCCTACTCGTGCCAGCCCCGTCAGGGAGGCCTTCCCAGAGGGCCCCTCTCACCGTCACTGGTCCGGGTCCTCACGGCCAGGATGTCAGTCTTCTCCAAGGTCAGCTCATCCGGCTGCAGCGCCTTGTATGTCCTGACACACTGGACCTGGGGGCGGTCTGACAGCCCCAGAGAGACTGAGGGAGTCCCCAGAGCATGATGGGGTGGGCAGGGAGGGGCAGTAGGAGGAAGTAAGGGGGTGGGCGGGTGGTCGCTGATGCTTCTTTTCCTCTGCCCCTCCCTAACCCTCCCTGGCCATTCCTCTCCTCTCTTACCCTAAACACAAGCCCTAGGTGAATCCGGTCTCTCCCAGCTTCAGTCACTCTTTCTGTACCCAGGGCTCTCTCCTCCCCAGCTCAGCCTGACACCTTGCTCCTGACCTCCAGGCCAGTGCCCAGCTGCCCCCAGAAACCCACCACAGAACAGTAGTGGCCCCTTCATATGCCCCCTATGCTACTCGGGTGCTCCCTCTAGGCCGTTGTTCTCGACTGGGATTCAAGCCACATCACTCCCGAGTGCATAACCCTCCAGGGCTTCCTGCTCCCGTTAGAATTAGGTCCCAAGTCCTCCCCGCAGCCTACAAAGCCCTGCGTGGTCCCCCATTGCCCCTTGCTAACCTCATCTCCTCTGTTTCCTCTCCCATCCGTGGATGGAGCTCAGCCACACTGGTCACCCTGATGACACCCTAAGCTCCCTCCTGCCTCAGGGCCTTTGCACTGGCTGTTCCTCCTGCCAGGAGCGCTCTGCTCCCAGGTCCTTTCACGGCTGCCCCTCCTCATCCTTCAGGTCCCTTCCCTGACCACCGCTTTGGAATGGGAAGCTCACCCACCAGCCTAAACAGGATTGCTGCAGCGCTCAAGCCATAGAATCTATTCCAGTCCAGGCTCTCAGCTCTTTCTACCATGCTGGGTGGGCTGGTAGTATTGGGTGAACTCGGACAAGTCACTTTACCTACTGAGGCTCTGTTTTCTAACTTGTAAAATAGGCTTCTGTAGGGGAGGACACAGGAGGATATAAAAGGCTTTGCCATCTCCCGGGTGCTGCCTGTGCATATGGGGGTCGGCCTGTCCTATGTAAATTCTCCCTGCCCTTCGAGGTTCTGCAGAGCCACCCGACTACCCCAGGCCACTGGAGCCCTCTCCCTGGTAGCCCCGCTGGCCACATGGCACCCAGCATTGGAGGGAAGGGGGAAAGCAACAAGGTGGACCCAGCCCAGGGGACGCGGGCCTTGGAGGGAGGAGAGTGGCAGGCTGCTACCTTCCCCCTCGCTGATGACCTCCTTGTCCTCCTGGGGGCTGGAGGGGCACATGGCAGAGATCCATCGCTGCTTCTCGCTTCTAGGAAGGGAGGCCGAGTTATCACAACATGCAAACTGCCTGTCCCAGGGCCGGGGTGGTGAAACGGCTGGGAGGATGAGGTGTGATGTCCGGACCTGGAACCCAGGCCACGTCTTCCCCGCCCCAGGACACACCTCCCAGCCCCGTTCCCACAGCCCTGTGCCCCACCGAGCTCGATCCGAAGAACAGAGCAGGCCCAGAGCCCCCTGGGTGCCAGCTCTGCCCATGCCCTGGAGCTGGAGAAAACAGGCCAGTGCCTGCCTAACGGCGGGGTCCTCTCCCCCCACAGCCAGGCCCACTCACTCCGTCTGCGCCCTCAGCAGGAACTGGTGCTTCGCGTGCTGCCCGTGGAGGAGCTGGAGGAGGAACACATGGCCAGGGATGCCTTGGGGCTTCAGGCTCAGGTCCTTCACCTGTAGCTCGGCCATCTTGGCGTGCACAAAAACGGCAAACTTCCCCAGCCTGCGGGACCGGGGGAGGCCAGGTCAGCCAGGCCTCGCCCTCGGGACTAGCCAAGTTCTGATTGCAGGGAGAGGGGGTCCTCTGCCCCTCAGGAACCTTCCCCAAGGAATCTTGGCTGCACAGGGCACCGCCTCCCTGGCAGCCAGCAAGTTCACAGAAGGACCCGGGTGCTCCGTTCCCGCCAGATCACTAACAGGTGGAAGGTGAGCAGACCAGCCCCCGGCTGCAGGCGCGCCGGCACCTTCTCCCCGAGCCTCGGCCCTGAGCCCGTTCTGAGAGCCAACGGGCAGACACTCTGATGAGACCTCCGCGCTGTTCAGTGTCTGAGCCACTAACTGGTCTGGAAGCTGAACTTTGTCTCTCGTTCTGTTCGCTTTGGCCAACAGCCACTTGCAGGAAGGATGGGTGGGTTGGCGGGGGGCAGATTCGGGGGTGTTTCCATAAGTTTCTTCGTCTCGACCCATTTAAAGAGAATTTAGTATCTCCCACCCCAAACCAGATCCCCTCGCTGCTCCCCATTCCAGTGAAAGACCCCTCCCGAGAGGGAACTCGGTCATCATTCCTGCTTCTCCTCCCTCTTCCCTCGCCCCACACCGGCGACTACGTCCCACCTGTCATCTCCTTATCGTCCCCGGAACCCACCTACCCCTTCTGCAGCATCCGCTCTCACTGGGGCAGTTGTGGGAGCTTCCGGTGCCCCCCTCCAGTCCATCCTCCACATTGACCAAGAGTACAACGCCACACATCCTCTGCTTCACCCTCCATGTTTCCTACTGCCCTCGGAAGGTCCAGCCTCTCTCTCCTGACTTTCAACATTCCAACCCCCACCCCCGTACACATCTGGACACATGGGTTCCATTTTCTACCACACACACTCTGCTCTTACACCTTACTGCGACTTTGCCGTATTCTCCCAAACGCCCTCCCTACCTGGAAAGCTCCTACTTATCCTTCAGAACCCGCCTCAAATGTCCCTTCCTTTGTGACACTGTACTGACTCTCCCCCCACACCGGGGTGTGCTACAGTACGAGTACGCCCTCCCACCGAAACCCTGACCGGGTGCTTGTCGGGATGTTTTCCCTGGTCCGAGACTCCTGTGAGCGGAGAACGAGTCCCATTCATTCACCGCTGTGCCCCCAGCCCTGGCCACAGGGCCCAGTACAGAACAGGGCTGCAGTGATGCTGCACCGGACAAAGAAATAAACCGGAAATGAACTCTTCCCACAGCGGAAGATGTCCATCCTTCATCCCATCCAGCCTTCAGGCCGACCTCATTCAGGAAGTCTTCATCATCCCAAACTTATAATAACCGCAGCTAACACCGAGTGAGTGTTCCCGAGGTGCCAAGTGCACGCTAAGTTCTTTCCCTGTGATAATAATATCACATGAATCTCCCTACATAGTAGCCTCTATTTTACGGGCGGGAGGCAGGGAAGTGCAGTGGTTAAGAGCTGAGACCTGGCATCACACGGACCCGGCTTCCTCCTGACTCCCGCATTGACCAGCTCCGAGACACCAAGAATAACAAGGGCAACTACTTCCCAGGGAAATACTTAGAGGACAAAAGGGAACAGCCCACACAGCGTGCCTGGCACAGAGCAGGCGCACAGTAAAGGTTGGCTGCTATCACAATGACTCAGGGCAGACCCGGGACTCCAGGGCCGTGTGCTCTTAGCCTCTGCTCTGACTGACTTAAGCTCAGAGCTTCGAGTCCTCTGCACATAGTCCGGCTCTTGATTCTGGAAGATGAACTTGCCTTGAATCTCTGTCTTTCCTGCCAGTGCCTCCCAGGCTCAGGGTGCCCTGGCGATACTGTCCGGAGCTGGCCAGGGCTTCCAGGCCCAGCGACGGACTGGGTGTGAGCCAATGAGCCAATGATGCATGCAGAAGGGAGCCTGGCTCCAATCACCCTTCCCTCACACCCTGCTCCGACTCACTCCTTCCGCCGGGAGAGAAGCAAGCAGTCGTTGAAGAGGTGCAGGTAGACTGCCTTGCTGGACAGCTTCAGCTTGGCCGGGGGCGCGGCAGGCAGTGGTGCCAGCTCCACCAGCTCCCCGTGCCGCACCAGCCAGCGAGCCTGAGAGATCAGTGGGAAGATCTGGGGAGGTGGAGGAGGCAAGGCGGGGGACAGGTCAGGCGGAGAGCAGCAGGGCAGAGGGCACAGGCCAGGGATGGGAGGGGACAAGAGCTGCCCTTTGTGTGCCCGTCCCGCCAGCTGTGGGCATGCACCTTGCCCTCGAAGTGGATCTTCTTGCTCAGGTGGATGAGCTCCTCTGTCCTCTTCATGGACTGCACGCTGGCATTGCATTCTTGCACCAGCTGGGGAGGCCATAGGTGGGTCACTCGCAGCCCCCAAACCCTGGTTCCTAGAGCCCAGCCTCAGACTCCCGCCTGGGGACCAGAAGCTCTGAAGGCTGGGGCTGTTTTAGAGATTCACTGAGGCTCTGGGGAGGGCCCTGGGAGCCAGATAGCTCCTGCCCTGAGAAGCTCACCTCCTTGAGTGCATTGAAGGCCTTGGTGGCCATGTCTTCATCTTCAGAGCCCTGTGCTGTCCGCTTCAGGATGTTCTAGAAGATAGGGTCGGTTCAATGAGGCAGACCATGACCTCCCCCCATGATCTTGCCTCCCTGGTGGGTGCCCAGAAAGGGCTGTGGGAGAGCACAGCAGCCTCTCCTTTGCCAGCCCTCACTGCAGCCTGGTGCCCACCCTCCAGGTACCTCCACCAGCATCTTGAGGCGGGTGATCCTCTGAAATGGCAGGATGAGGAAGGAGGTGAGGGGCAGACGTTGGCACACGGGAGACTCTTCTAGTCGAGCCAGGATGCCAGGGAACTTGGGGTTCTCCAGGCTGGAAAATGGGAAAGGGTCTGGGGTCACAGTTGGGCCTGAACTCCTGAGCCAGCTACCCCATCGGCTCTGCAGGTGTTTCTCAGCAGGTCCTTCCTGCATGCTGGCCACGGATCCCTTTTCAGGGACCCCTCCCTCTCAGGTCACCCTTCCTCACCCAGGTCTCTGCACCCAATCCCACCTGAGAATCCCTTTATCCTCCCCCCTTTCAGGGTCCCCAGCCCTACAGCAGGCGCTGGTAGGTGCGCTCCTGGTAGGCCTGGTTGGTAACGTAGGGCAGGTAGACGCGGCGGAAGGCCGGGCAGTGGTGCAATACAATGTCGCACACGCTGAAGCGCAGTACATCTGCCTCGAGGCGCTGCTCCAGGTCCTGCAGGAACCTGAGGGGTCAGCTGTGGGTCAGGGCCAGGGTGAGACCCGAAACCTGGGAGCCTGGCCAATCGCAGGCTCGGTCCCCGCCCCCAGCCAGACCAGGCCAGTCCCTCACCTCTCACTGGTGCTCTTGACCTCGGGCAGTTTGGAGAACAACCACTGTTTGTCCTGCGCCCCCAGACACTCACTCAGCTCGGCCGAGCCTAAGAAGTGGTCCACGGCCACCGATAGGCTGTGGATGTATGAGGCCTCGGACGTGATCAGCTCAAACTTGGCCTGAGCAAGGGCGGATGCAGGGTTGAACCTGCCGGAGCAGCCCACCTGGACAAGCCCTCCCCGCAGAGCTCCCACCCCAAGCCCTGGACATCACCTCCTTAGACACAGCCACACCCCGTCTTCCCGACCCCATCTCTAGCGCCATCCCTGATCTGGTGCCTGGTGGTGTTCGGGACCCATCATCCCCTGCCGCGAGCAAATTCAAACGAAATTGAAGCCCTGGATTAAGCCCGTAGCCCAGCGCTTCGAGCCCTGCCAGTCATCCAATGGCCCCGCCCTCAAAGACCCCGCCCACCACACGGTTCGTTCTCGTTGGCTCTAAAGCTTGCCGGCCCTAGCTTTCAGCGATTCCCTCCTCCTCTAGCCCAGCCTGAATCCGCCCCTCCTCTGTTCCTGCCCTATCCTAGGCCTCGCCCCGTTGGACCCTCCCCTGACCCTGCCCCTCGCCCAGCTTCTCCCCTGGCCTTTGGCTCCAAGGCTCCTCCTTCTTCGCTTGCAGCCAGCCCCGCATTGTCAGGTCCTAGCAACCACCTTCGGATTTACAGTCCCATCGGTACCTCCCTCCTGTGCCCCCAAGTTCCCCGCCTTCTGCGCCCCGCTAAGTCTCGGGACCGGGTACTCCTGTCCCTACTCCTCCTGTTGCCCCACCCCCTCTGGGCCTCAGGACCACCTTCCACGACTGGCAGCTCTGCTGGCCCCGCCCCGCCCCGCCCCACCCCACCCCTCCAAGTCCCCGCCAGCACCTCCTGCAGTTTGCAGTCGCGCAGGCTCAGCGTGGCCAGGACACCGCTCCCTCGCACGTCGGGGATGTCTTGCCACAGCGAGAAGGTGGAGCCTCGCGCTGAGCGCTGCGCCCGGAAGGAGCTGCTCGGGGAGAGGTTGGCGCGCGGCGGCCCGGGCCCCTCCTCCGTGCCCTCGGCCTCGTCCCCTGGGCCCTCCTCCTCGCGCTGCTGCCGCCGCAGTTCGCGGGCACTGGCCACGTCGCTGTATTCCTGGTAGAGGACGGCTGGGCGGGGGAAAGGGCAGGGGAGGGCTGTGGGGCTCCCGCCAGCCGCCGCCCGGCTCCTCCCGGGCTCCCCCAAGAGCCCGCCTCATTCTTCAAGTCTTTCCGAAGGTTCAGATAGCCGGACACAGTGCATTCATTCATTCATTCACTCATTCATCCCCCAAACATTGCTTGAGCTCCAACTGCGTGCTAGCCACTGTGCTGGATACTGAAATTCAATTCTCTCCCTCTCACACGATCCCGGAATCCGTTTCCCAGCTTCCCCGAACCCCTAGCCTCTACCTCCATGACCCCCTCCCGCGTACAGTTAAGGAGGAACCGTGACTGTCGTCGCTCGCTGGCACTTCTGGAACCCAGAGCCGGCTCTTCCTGTGATTCCAGCCTAGGAAACAGAGAAAGTCAGGGGTCTTCTTTGCCTGCGCCCCCCCGCCTCACACCCGATCCCGGGGTGGGACATGGTACCTGGACTCAGGCCAGCTGCCATGGCCCCCGCTCGGGTCCACAGGGGCCGCCATTGCCACACTGTCCGCCCTCATCTCTACACTGCGCGACTCCCTTCCAGATGCTTTCCCTGGAGAGGGCGAGACCTGAGGGTAGGTGGCCCGAAGAGAGTGTCCCTGGGCACCCAGGCGCCACACTCCAGCTGACCAGCACTCAGTCTCAGGTGTCCAGTGAGTGAGCCTTGCCCCACCCTGCATCTGGCTCCTGGGCTGCTCTAAGGGCCGAGGGGAGGAGCAGGTACCTTCCCGAGGTGCTCCGGTGCCTGACCCTTGGGTCAATGTCCTGGCTGCTGAATTCCGCCCCAGGCGCAGGGAAGAGTGCAGCCGGGTCATCAGCTCAGAGGCGGAAAAGCGCCTCCGCTCAGGCCCCTGGAGGCCCACTCGGCCGGGCCCAGACAGCTCTAGTGACCTAGGCTCCTCTGTGTCCAGGGACTGCTCTGCCACCTGGCCGGGCTCGAGGAAGACGGCGTGGGCCTCTTCACGCTGGTACACCCGCATCTTGCGCCCTGCAGGTGGGGTGAGAACACAGGCTGGCATCCACTGGGGTCTCGCCCCACCCCCCTCCCTGCTGCTGCCCTGTGGCCCGGAGCATCTGGACAAGATGCCCAAGTGAAAGGGCAATGTTTTTGCCAAGATCTGGTCCCCAGAGAAATGAATTTGACTAGAGGGGTGGAGAGAGCGCAGTGCCTGACTGCAGCGGGGGGAAGGCGGGCAGAGGGCCAGGAAGACCAGGACAGCCACTCATGTGCTGTGTGACCGCAGAAAAGTCACTCATCTTCCCTGGGCTCCAAGCTCTCTATCACTAAAATCCACTTGTCCTGCCTCTTTGGGGAACTCTGGGGCTTAGGAGTCCTAAAAAGCCACCCCACCTGTCCCCTATTCGTTCCACTGGGCCACCACTCCCTCACCCAGAGTGACTCACACGCTGACTTCTTCTCTGAGCCATGGCTGGCCCGGCGCTGCGGCTGGGGGTGCTGGGGACTCCAGGGTCCCTCCAGAGCTGGGGGCTGGGCACTAGGACAGTGTGGCCAGCTGCCAGCCCTGCTGGGCCGCATCCCCCCACTGGTAGCAGTCTCGGTGTCTGGGACTCCTGGGGACGGTGGCCATAGCAGCCCTTGGAGAGGAGCAGGGGTCCCCAGGGACCAGCGGCTGCCAGGAGCCTGCAGCTCCTCTGGGGTGACAGGAAAGAGATCCAGACACACAGGGCTTGGGGGCTGCAGGGTGGGCAACTCCGCAAAGGACAGACTCTCCTGCTGGCATACAGCTACTGGGTGGCAGGCAGTACCAGGTGGCCCAGCCAGGTGGGACTGGAGGGTGGCAGGTGGCCCACAGTCCATTCCTCTTTTGCTCTGCCCCTCACCTGGGCCTGCAGGGGAGAAGGTTTCAAAGCCAGACACAGGACAGCAGGGCTGGCCAGTAAGTGACCACGTCCTGGAGGCCTGGACAAAACCTCATGTACACGTGTGTGCACACACCTGTACAAGCACATCCACACACCTGGTTACATAGGAATAGCTGATGCTTACTTGGTTTTTAATGAATGATAAGCTAGGTGCCTTGTGCATATTATCTCATTTAATTCTCACTGCAACCCTGAGTCGATGCTACTTTTAGCCCCACTCCATAGGTGAGGAAAGTGAGGCGCAGAGGTTATTTGGTGACGGGTGGAACCAGGGTTCAAACCCAGGCAGTCCAGCTCTAAACCACCCCGTATGTTTTCGAACTCTCGCTGACCCACGATCAGATGTACAGACATGCGCACTGTCACACAAATGCACGTACGTTTCACATGCATCCACACACACTTCCTCCCAGGTTTACGTACTCACATACGCACTCTGACAGGTACACACTCAGACATTTCACACTCACAGGCTCACACACCCACACACAACGACACAATTTTCCCACACACTGACCCATCAGTTATTTACACATCCACTCACACTTTCTCACACTCCTGTCCCATTCACACTCGCTCACCAGGATGCAGACACAAACATCCAGGCCCAGGAGTCCCGGCTCTGGTGTTACCCAGCCTCCCTTCCCGGGCCCAGAGTGGCAGCCTCCGGCACTGAGCGGTGCCCACACCCATGCCAAGCTGGCTGGGAGGGTCACAGAGCGGCAGGAGTGCCACCACACAGATCGGGCCGGGCCCTCCCAGGAGAAGGACGGGGCGGTGTCCCAGCCCCCCAACTCGGGGTGAGGAGGATTTCTTCCCTACGCCAGCTCCCAGCCCAGGCACCGGGCCAGGCGGAAGGGATCCTCTTTGCGTAGGCAGTCCCCCCACCCCCCGCCCCGGGGAGGCTGCTGGAGCCTTGGGGCAGGCCTCAGGATCCAGGGGTCCAAGCTCCCTCGGCCCTGGCCGGGTGGCCCTCCGCCGCTGGCCCTCCTACAGCCCCTCACCTCTCCAGACGAGGCGCGCTGCCGACGTTCGACTGCTCCGGCAGGGGAAGCCCTCTCTCTGCCCAGCTGGCCGGGGGAGATCCCACCCAGACAAAGAGTTTGATTCATCAAACCCTGTGGTGAGGCAGGCGGTAGGGAGGGAGGGAGCAGGCAGCGGCTGGGCGGGGGCCTACCCTAGCCTGGCCTCGCGGTGGGCAGGCGGGGCAGCGAGGAACCCCCCCAGCGCCAGAGGCCCCTCAGGCCAAAAGGGCAGTGCCCAGCCTGGCAGGGCTAGGAGGCCCAGCAGACGGAGGCCGAGATAGAGACCCTTTAGACCGCAACTTAGAACTGAGACCCCAAAGTGCTGAAAACCAGAAATCACAGACACTGAGACACTCAGGGACACCGAGGTGGAGACAGAAAGAGACACAGAAGATTTCGGACAGACCAGACACTCGGAGACAAAGGTGAAGCCAGAAACACCCAGGGAGACAGATGGACGAACATTTCATGCCCTGCGGGGTTGCCAGTCCAGTGGGGAAGCCAAGAAGGAAACGGTTACAATCCAGGCTGGCAAGAGCAGGGTGCTGGGCTCCACACAACCTGAGCGAACATTCCAGGAAGGCTTCTTGGAGGAAGTAATAGCTAACCATTCTGGCTGAAATACCTAGGGACCTAGTACACAAGGAGAATGCTTTGGCCTGGGAGGAACAGTGGCAGTGGCAGTGACCCAGGGAGAGAGGGAGGGAGGAGAGTAGAGGACCCAGTGGGGACAGCCGGGCCTGTGACTGGGCCCCTCAACTCCTCCCCTGCCCTCTCCATCCCCCACCTGAGTGGGAGTGTGCTGCTCCTAAGGGACAGTTACCGTCCCCCACAGGGATGGCTTTAGCTTGTGCCTTAAACCTCTATCCATCTGAGCAAGTACCTCAGTTTCCTCATCTGGTAAATAGGATCGTCATGCCAACTTCAAAACGCCAATGAGAATGAAGGATAACACAGTGGGAGTTCTGTCATGAATCGGCATCCTTCTGAGTATATTACTAGTCTTTCTCCAGCTCGGGAGATGGGCTGGGCTATCACACAGATGGAAAAACTGAGGCAATGAGGGCGAGATACACCCTACTCTGCAGAAACATCTAGCAGGTGACATGGGACCCCTGTCTGCTGGACAGGTCTTCTTCTCCCCAGGAACCGGAAGTCCACAACACAGAGGTCCCCCTCGCTTCTGTGGGCACACACATGCAAGAATGTCCCTGCTCCCTTGTATTCTGGGAGATTGTCTCCACTTGGGCTCTGGAAGCGCCTGAAGGGCAGGAAGGAACCCCCACCCCCTTGTCAGCTGCAGAGATAAACGAGCAAAACATGGAGCCCTTGGGGCAGGAATAACCCTCCTAAAGCTTCAGGAGAAGAAGACTGGGTGAATGTTGGGTGGTGGTGGTGGAAAGCCTTCTAGGGGGAGGTGGGGCAGGAGGCAGGCACCCGGGGGAGAAGCCCGGGAATGACCCAGCTAGCTGTGCTGCCCACCCCGTGGCCTTCCAGGGATGCGGCCCCCTCAGCCTGAGGCTGGGGGCCAAGGAGGCCCAGAGCTGTGTTTATATCGTGTGCAGCACATCTCTGCTGGAAAAGAGAAAAAAAAAAAACCTCAAGAAGAGACGTGGCCGAGGGAGCAGGGACATTACCTGCCCAAGACATGATGACCACAGGACACTCCAGGGCCCATGAGGCCAGAGTTGTTCTGGAACCCACAGGGGGAAACCCTGCCAAAGTTCAAGGTCCGGTGTGGACACGGACAAGCTGTGTGGCCTTCTGCCCTGGCCGGTGCGGCTGGCCTTAGTCAAGTGATAGTCTGTCCCTGGGCCGCAGTGTCCCCATCTGTAAAGTAGCCCCTAAGGCCCCTCCTAGCTGCCCCTTCCAGGAAACCTGTGTCATCAAGAGCATCTCTGCAAGCTGCGAAGGACGGGCAAGGGCCAAGGGTCCCATCCAGTGGGCACTGCCAATCACAGGACAATGGATCCCCTTGGCGAGGCTGGCAGAGCGGGTCCCTGGACACTACCATGGTCCAGGCAAAGCACCTCTGGTCTCCTGTGCCCAGCTCTTCCCTACCCCTTCCCTGGTGCCCCTTGCCCTGTTGCCCAGATGAGTAGGGACCCTGCTAAGGCCCCTTAGCCCCCTAAAGGGACAAAGCCAAGCGGAAGGTCACGGCTGGAAAGGGGATCCAGGCCAAGCAGGCCGTGGAGCCCCAGGAGGCCCGAAGGGAGTGCGGTCCAGGATCAGAGGCCAGTCGGGCAGCACAAAGGACTCACTCTGGAAGACTGGCGGGAGGAGGATGGGGCTGCTGGCAGCCGTGGGGGGCCCTACCTCAGCCGGGGAACTCCATCCAGCCTCCAGCACAGTCCAGGGCTCCAGGCCACCCTGGGGGCTCTGGGGTTGCAGCCAGGTCCTCAGGGGGCGATGTCAGCATGGCCCCCGAGCCCGGGCAATGCAAGCTCCTGGGTATTGTGTGGGGCAGGGAGAGGGGGAGGTGAAGGCGGAGGGAACCTCGCAGGCAGGCAGGCAGGCAGGCGGGCAGGCGGCTGTCTCAACGTGCCTGCTCCCCGCCCCCCTTCCCCAGAACCGGTTTGGCCAGTCTGGGGTACAAGAGGGGGGCTGGAACAATGGGAGTCCTATGCCCAGGAGAGGATCTGAAGGACCCCAGACCGAGTCCTAAAGATGGGGAGGCACTGCTTTTCCTCCCAGCAGACAGGGCACCCTCTTCCAGAGCTTCCCAAACGTGGACACGCTCAGGAGTCTCCTTGGGGCAGGAGAGCATTGAGGGGGCGGGGGGAGCTCCGCAGGGAAGCTCTCACACCTTGGACTCCTCAGGGACCTTGAGAACTCCTCAGTGGGCCGACCCTCTCTGAGCCCACTACAGCACCTACCAAGTGGGGACACTCATCTCTCTGCCTGGGGGACGGAAACCAGGAAGGCAGGCGATGCGATGCATCTAGCGTCATCCTGGCCAGCCCTGCCAGCATCACCGCTCTTCATGAGTGACCCATCTCAACACCTCTAATGGCCTCCTCCACCAGGAAGCCTTCCCAGACTCTAGCCCACACCCAATGAGCCCTCAACAAACCAATGGAACCAGCCCAAGCAGAACCAGCATCAGGGAGTGAGGCCCCACTCTGTGCCCAGCATGCAATCTTCCCACACCTATGAAAGGGGCAGCTGCCTTCTCCCTAGGGCCACCTGCCATTTATTTGAGCACGTGGTAATTGCCAGGCACTGAGCATGAACATGGACGTGTATACATAAATACTAATACTCATGTTGCTAATAACGCTTACTGTGCACTCGCCACGTGCCAGGCACTGCTCTGGATGCTGTGACAGCTCCTGGTTCTCAGATGAGGATACGAGGCTCGCACAGGTCGTGATGAGCATCATCCCACGGAAGCCTCTCATCAGCTCTAGGAAGCGCGTCTCACAGACGACGAAATCGAGGTTCCAGGAATTAAATAGCTTGCTCAGGATCACACAGCTGAGAAGAGTCAGAAGTAATATTCAAATCCAGGTCTGTGTGACTGCACCGCCAACGAGTGTCCTTGATCACTGCCCGCGACTGCCTCGCCAGGCTTTGGAGAGGATCTGGTGAAGAGAATGTCACCGTCTACTGGGAGGGGTGTCAGATGACCTAACGAAATCCTTATTTTCAGCCGAACACGACCAGCATTGATGAACACATGGGGCAGGGGGTCCAGGGCCCAGACCCCAGTGAATGCCCCTCTGCCAACTGGTGGTCATTCAGCGCAAAGTGATTCAGTGCCTCCACTCCCTCATACACCCCTGCCCGCCCCCCACCCCAGAGCATCGTCACATTGTGAGGAGACACTGCACACAGCGAATGGGGACCAGGTGTCCAGGGAGAGGCAGCGAGCTGGGGCGCAGAGAGAGAAGTGTGTTTTCAGCATTGCACACAGGGCGGGACTAGGGGTCTTCAGAGAACTCTGACCCTCTCATCCCGGCTCTGGGGCGACCTTGAGGACGCTGGCCAAGGTACTGCCCAGACCCCCAGCTAGAAGCAGAGAACCATAATCTAAGGAGCATTCTTGGGGACCTAGGGTCCTGGAAGGGCAGTCCTGCCGCACTCGCCCCTGCATCCTGGGCTCCGGGGACAGAGCTTCTGCTGCAGCGAACAGAGAGCAGGACTCGGTCAGGCTGAGCAGGCTGGCCCGCAGGGCAGAGTAGACCCGAGCGGGTGTCCAGTTTAAAAGGGGGTGTGGGCGGAGTTTGGCGGAGGGCGGGGCTTGGAGATAATTAGAGGTATTCAGGCCAATCCTTCCCCCGGGCGAGGACAAACCAGAACCCAGGAGGGGCGGGGGGCAGGGATGAAAGTTGAGCTAAAGTGGGGGGGGAGGGCGGGGGCGTGGCCAGAGGGGCGGGGCCAGGGTCCGCGGGCCCTCTGCCTGAAGGCGGCGCCCCGCGGCAGTCCGCTGGCGCCTGCTTAGCCGGGTAGCGGTCGCGCTTTCTCTTGGTAACCAGGACGGCTGGCACGTTGGGCACGAGCCAAGCCATGAAGCGCTGGCAGAAGAAGACCACGTGCTGGGGAGAAGGGGGACCAAAGAGAGAATGATTGCCTTAGCAATCTTAATTTATAGAGCGCTTACTGGACGCAAGGCACTATTCTGAGGGTTGTCCGGGTATTCATTCGTTTCATCCTCACAGCTCTAGGAGGTCAATACAACTACTACTCCTGTTTTACAAGTGAAGAAACCGAAGCGTAAACAAGTTGTCATTTGCCCAAAGACACAGAGGTATCATTAGAACCCCTTCACACGGGGACGCTGTTAGAGGCCGGCCTAGAAAAGAGGGATCTTGAGCAACGTGCTTCCTACCTCCAAGTCTGTTGCCAAGAGATAGTAGTAGTTGTAGTAGTGAGACTAAGTCATTGAGAACTTGCGATGTGCTGGGCAAGTGCTGGACATCGAATCTTCGTAACGATACTATGAAACAGATCCCATTCTGTAATATATCCCCATGTACAGCCAGCCGGCGGCAGAGTCTGAACTTGAGCCTACCTCGAAAGTGATCGTGAAGTCCAGATGCACAGGCAGCAGCTTCCAGCAGCAGAGAGGGAGGTTCCCCTGCGCGGAAGGCTTTGCACCTGGGCTGCGGAGGGAGCCGGATCCTGCGAGGCTCTCAATTCCACTCCAGGCACTCCCGCCCCTCCCGCTAGAGCTGGCCTGGCTCCTCCAGACCCAGCTTCCTGCCTTCCCAGCTAGGTCCCGCCCCACCCCTTCCACAGGCTCCGTGCTCCTCCCCTCCCAGAAAGGTCCGGCCCTCTCCCCGCTAGCTCCCACCCCTCGCCTGGTGGATGTCCCAACTGCCGGGCGTGTGGTTGCTCTGCGCCAGGTAGGCTGGAGATGCAGGCGCCAGCGTTGAAGCTGACCTAGCAGAGCAGCTGTTGGCGCTGTCTATACTGGTCCAGGAGACGCGGTAGTCTGAGGCGAAGGGGCTGGGGAAAGCTTACAGGGTTGGAGGGTCTTCAAGGCAGAGTCTAACTCACATCCACCGGGGTCGAAACCCACTCCCACAGGGGTATTATTGTCCCTATTTTTGTCCCCCTTTTACTCAGAGAGAAGCAAAGACACAGAGCTCACAGGAGGCAGAACTAGCTCCCACTCTCCTCCATCTCCTGACCCCCAGTGGGGGGGGCTGTCTCTGCGTCATTCCCAGGGAAGCCCTCCCCTCGTCCTGACTAGGCCCAACCCTGTGCCCCTACCCCTCCTGTACCCGTGGCATGACGAACTCCTCCACCCTGCACGCTATGGACCAGACGTTTGCCCACCGAGATGATGAAGAGATGCCAAGTGAGCCCGAGGAGGCAGCTGCTGGGGGCACACAGTGGTTGGCAGACTCAGGGCACCTCGCTCCAGGTTTAGAGACAGTACGGGGCGGCCCCCCCTCCCCGCCAGAGCACCGAGCTGGGCCCCTGCTCCGTGGAGGCCTCACAGGCAGATCCTGCCCCTGCCAGACCTGAGGGTGGGACGACCCCCAACCACCCCAAAGAGCCAACCAGGGGGCATTCACGTCCTCATTCTACATGCTTACTAACCAGGGTGTCCCACACACCCGGGCGTATGTGCTCTCCTGCCTTAGGAGCCAGGCCGCAGCCCAACTCCCTGCGGAGGCTGACCCCTCTGCCCACTACGCCCCCGATCCTCTGGCCAACCCTGCACTGAGGGCCAATGCTGGCGACAGGACCTGCCTGCTCCCCACTGGCCACAGACGGCTGCGTTCCCAAGGGCCTGTGGGGCCGGGGCCCATATCTACTGCTCAACCCACGAGAAGCCAAGGAAGGCCCAGGAAGAGGGTGTCTTGCTTGTGGGGACAAGTTCTTTTGATGACGCTCCCTTCCATTCCCACCAAACGCAAGGGCAATTACAGGGTAACGACCCCCCCCCTCCCGGGAGCCTAGCCCTTCAGGACCCCTAACCAGACATTAAAAACCGGAAACTCCCTGAGGAAATGCAAAGCTCTGGTTTATTCGTGTCCCCAGCGTCCAGTCCAGGGTGCTCAGCGAAAGGTCGCCACAGAGATGGCCATGACCCCAAACTGCAGCACTAGGAGTGGGGGGACAGACCTGGGCCCCCCAGGGGAAAATGAGTAAATGAATGCGGGTGTTAGAGTTTCACATTTGCCTTGTGAGGTGTTGGTCTGTTCCGGCCGAGAAAACTGAAGCCCAAGGAAATCAAGGTCCACCTTCAAGGTCAACAGCAAGACCTTGGTAGAGACAGGTCTGGAGGCTCAAGGATGCTACTGCTCTGCTGGGCCACGTCCTTGGGAGGCGACAACTTCGGAAGGCAGGGGGCCCTCACCTGCCCTTGAAGAACGCTGCACAGAGGGGAGAGGAGTAGAAACTGACAAACCGGAAGATGGTGACTTTGAATGTGAAAGCATCTCCGTGGGGAGTCTGGATTCTGTGCATCTCTGGGCCAAGAGCAGAGCCGGTCAGAGTTCTGTGAGGTTTATGGGGGCTGGCACCAGCCATCCTTCCCCTAATGCCAGCCACGTGTCCCTGGCCAGCCTCATTTGAGAATGGCCGAGCAGGCTGGGGGCCCCAAGGCGGGAGCTACAGGCTCCGAAGTGCAGGTGGACCTTCTGTGCGACTCTCAGTTCCCAACTGATGCCAGGGCACCACTGTGTCCCCCGGTCCTCACTCAGCTCACTGGTGAGCTGCCCAGCAGGCGAGGTGTAGACCTGACCCGAGAGGAGGATCAATAGCAGGTTGAGCACAGTGCTGCTGACGTTTGCAATGTTGCCAGCACAGGCAGAGTGACAGCCATCACCTAAGGGTCCCCACTTTGGGGCTGGAACCTGGAACAGTGCCTCTACACTCTGTCTCCCCGAGGGGCACTCGCTTGGGCCATGAGCAATAGTTGCCCATATGGAGCACTGCAGTGCTTACGATGTCGCAGTAAATGACAAAAATGCCCCAGAAGAGCTGGGGGCCCGCAGGGGGCTCCGTCAGAGCTGGAGGGCAGGCCACCAGGGCCCCAGCCACCCTGGAAGGGACTGCCCTTCTCAGGAAAGGCCCAAAGCCACCTCACTATGACGAGAATGGCTGCAGAGCCAGTGAGTAGGCCGCAAAGGCAGGCGCGGGGTGGGAAGGAGGGCTCCTCAGACCTGTCACCTGGTTCTGGGCCACCTACAGGGCTGGGACAGCAAGCTCTGAGGTGAGCACTCCTGTCAGCAGGAGGACAAATGTTTACCCCAGGGCCCGAGAAGCTGGGTGTCATGGCCCTGGGGCGGGGGGAGCCTGCCCCCTTGCCCTGCCTGTGCAGGGAGCTCTGGAAGTGTGGGGACAAGGGCTGGTTTACTTCTGTTTCTGTGGGGCCTTGTACCTCAGGGCCTGGCTGGGAACCTGTGGATGGGTGGGACGGATGGCTGGCTGGCTGGACAGACACATAGGCAGGCAGACAGAAGTTAAAAACAAATGGATGCACACCCGTCTGTGCGTGGAGGCCTGGACAGGTGATGGATGGGTGGGTAACCAGACGGGAAAACAACCGGCAGATCTCCACAAACGAGCACACACGTGGAGGGTGCGGGGAGACCGGCAGACGGACGGACGGACGATGGCTAGGTGGGGGGCAGATGAAAGCGTGGACGATGGACATGAGGATGTATGGGTGGATGGACAGATGTGTAAGTCACACAAGTTTATTCAATAACTGCTGACAGCCTGCTATGCACTAGATACAGGACATGCCACGGCGACCAGACTGGGATGGCGCGTGGCCGGACTCCAGAGCCCAGGCCCATTTTCCTCCCTGCTCCGTTCTTCCCCAAGGAGCTGGCGAAGTGAAGGTGGGTGACAGGTGAGTCTCTGGCTGGAGCAGTGCCACCCAGGACAAGACGGGCCTGCTCTGTTGTTGGGGGGGACCTGGGTTATTTCTCCAGCGCAACATTCTGGCTCTCAGCAGAGCTGGTGCCCAGGAAGGTTCTGGAAGCTTCCTTTCAGGGGGAGCTTCCAGCCCAGAGGTAACTGGCTGGGATGCAGAGCGGCTGGTCCTGTAGCTGGAGGGTCACAGTCAGGCCCAGGGGCCACCTCCCTGGGTCCCACTCCCATGGTGGGCTGCTGCCCTGGTGGGGTAAGGTCAACAGGAGCTAGGAACAGCGGGGACCAGGCCGAAGGCCACTGCCTGGGAGCAGGGCTGCAGGCCACCGTGGGAAGGTCTGGGGTCTACGGGCTGTGCTGCTGTGAGTCTCGGGGTCCTGCCTGGGACACTCCTGTTCTAGGGTAAGATCAGGCCTCAGCTATGAACCGAGTTGGCAGTAAGAAGATGCTGGGCAGTCCTTTAGGTCCCAGATGGGTTGACAAGCATACGGGCAGTGCCCAAGGGAGACAGACATGGCAAATGTCACACCGGCAGTGTTCTCCAGAGGGTGAGCAGGGGGCATGTAGGAGCCTCCTGTGCACGCTGGGAGGGGAGACCCCCCGAGGGCAGTGCTGGGGTGTGTGTGCACACGCACACGTGACCACATGTGCGTGTCGATGTAGGGCTGACAGGGTTGACTTCTCAAGAGAGGGCTCCCAGGTCCAGCTGGCTTTGGGGGTCACTATACCTAGGCCCCTGGGGCCCTGCCAGCTGGGACACTAGGGTCAGGCCTCAGCCCAGGGGGCAGCCTATGGAGCCAGGGATCACCAGGGACCGTCAGGAAGCACGAAGGCCCCCTTCGTCAGCACCCTCCTCCCCACCCCTCACTGCAGCCTGTGTCACCAGTGTCTCTGGCCGGTGGGGCAGAGAGAAGCACAGAAACGAGCAAGTGTACTCACCTGCCTGCTCCCGTCCTTGCTGGCTCCCCACAGGGCAGAGCTGCCAGCAGGCCAGCTCACCATCTGACCCCCGCCTGGCCCCGTGATGCTCTCTGATTCCCCCAGGGCCCCTGTCCTAAGCCCAGCCTGACAGCCTCGTGATCAAGAAGGCACTGCAGAGCAAGGGGCTCACCACCTGGACACGCAGGTGGACTACATTTCCCAGCCTCCCTAGCAGCCCCATGTGACCACATGGCACGTTGCCTTAGGCCAGGCCCACAGAAACCTCCTGGGCGACCTCTCACTTGCACACCTCGGTCTGCTCGCTGGATGGCGCACCCCAGGGCAAACTGGGAAGCCCCGTGCAGAAGATCTCAGAGCCTGGGTCTCCGAACGAGTGCATGGAGCAGAGACCCCCCATGGCCACCTCCCCCTCCCCCTGAGGTGAGACGCAAACAAAATAAAACTTCGAGAGAGTTCAGCCACTGAGACTTCAGGGTTTTCTGGCACAGCGGAGGATGGTATCACCTCAGCTACAGTGGGGCAAAAGGTGGATCGCTGTGAATATGTGAAATAGTTTATTCTTGTATTATTATATGCTAGTTACTGTATCGTTTTCCACACAAACAACTGTAAGCCTACTTTCTCCCCACCCTGTAATACGGGCTCTCAGGTGAAGTCACTTCAGGTCCAGGGCCGAGCCGAGCCTCCCCTGCTCCCCTGTCACCCTCCCCGTGTGCTGCGGAAGGGGAGGGACAGCAGGTTGGTGGAGATGCTTGAGTCTGGGGGCCCCGCCCAAGCGGTTCCCCAGTTTCCAGAGCCTCGACCCCCAGGACCTGGGAGAAGGCAGGGGGCCTCCAACCACTGCCCGGAAAGCCCTGTGCCCCCACCGCACCGCCATGGGTTCTGCACAGCAGGTGCTGCGGGGGCAGAGTCTTCACCGGCCACCAGCCTCCCTGGCCAATCCTCAGGAGGAGTTCAATGTCCCTGTCCCAGCCCTAGGACTGGGTCCTGTCTCCTGCTCTGGGTCCCCTGAGACCCGGGAGGAGGGATTGCACGTGCCCACTCATGTCAGCTGGGGGTGTCTTCTGGGGGGTTGGGGAGCAGGCCAGCTGCCACCTGGTCCTGGTGCCACAGCTGCTCTGCCAGGCTATTGAGCACGTGGGCAACGTCGGCCAGCCCAGCCCGCCCATCCAGCGTGCGCCCATCGGCCAGGCGCCGCCCCGGCACGCTCTTCACCCGCAGGAGGGGCAGCTCCCAGGCCTGCCGGAAGGCTGTGATGTCGCGCTCGGGCACGTCCGTGTGCATGTACTGGTCAAATCTGGAGGAGGGTCAAGGTCAGGTGTCTCTGCTAACCACCCCATCAAACCCAGCCCTCTCCCTCCTCCCTGGAGGCCCACACGCAGGGTCTGGGGGAGGCCCTGCAGCAGCCTGGAAGATAAAGCCCGTGGGGCTGGACCCCATGGCTGGGCAGGGGCTGGGTCCATGTCTTGCCAAGTGTGGCCCCTGACTATCCTAGGGGCCACCCAAAGGATACTTGGAGCCAATGACCATCCTGACGACACCAGGGGCCTCGCCTGCGACGCGGGTCAGCTGTCCAGGGAGGTCTTCGAAGGAGGCACGGTCGGTGAAAGAGAACAGGAAGAGGAAAGCATCTGTTTTCTCCTTACAAGCCTGGGGATGGAGGGGCCGATTCAAAGGCTGTATTCATGGGGGACCAGAACCCTCCCATCCGCTGCAGGGTCCAACTTTCACAGACTGGGAAACTGAGGCCCAGAGCAGTGAGTGGCTGGCCCCAGGGCAGAGCTCGGGCTGGGATCAGTCCCCACCGCCAGCTCAGAGCTCGCCCAGCTGGGGCAGCACCTTCAGCCCATTCGTGCCCGATTCTGGCTCCTGCACACCCGGCAGGCTGGGCTCAGACACCTGGACTCGGAGGCCCGCCCCAGACAACCAGCCCCTCCGGGACCCACACAGGCCCCCCTCCTGCTCACCGGCAGCATGTGATCGAACTTTTTGAGCGCAGACTCCCCGCAGTCCCAGAACTCAAAGCGGAACATGATGACCCGGTCACTGACCTGCAGCTTGGCCGGCCAGAACACCACGGTGGTCTGGATGCCTGGGGAGGCCGGGGTCAGCCACTTAGCAAGGGAGAGGTAGAGGTGGAGAGAGGTTGGGGGCCGGGAAGGAACAGGAAGACTGCGTCCCTGTCCTGAGGGGTCAGAGTCTGACCGGGAAGGCAGAGTCCCTGACCTGGGAGCATTCTCAGTCTGAGGAGGGAACCCGACCTGCCCTGGAGGAGCCCCTGGCCCACCGGGAATATACGGCCCTAGCCCCCCGAGCCACAACAACGAAGCTGCACTCATATGTACAAGGGGACCCAAAGGTCCTGGGACACGGGAAGATGTTGCAAGGTGTTGGCCAATCAGCAACCAGGGGAAGGAAACGAGATCAGTGTTTCCTGAGCACCTACTTTGTGCCAGCTCCATGCTAGGCATGTTGCCGCCACCATCTCTAGCGCCAGCCTCCCAACAACCCCACGGGATTGGTGCTGTCGTCCCTGTTGGACAGAGAGCCAACGACGGCTCAGAGAGGGGACGTGACTTTCCCAGCCTGCAGGGCAAATGGTGGGGCTGGTTCAAGCCCCGGGCTTGTGGTTCAGGGACAGTCTCCTCTCCACCCTGGGGAAGGCCTCCAGGGAGGGACTCACCGATGGTCTCGTGGTGTACCACGGGCACCTCCAGGCCAGACAGCTTGGCCACCAGTGCCGTCTTGCCCACGCCACTCTTCCCAGACACGAAGATCTTGTAGCTGGCCGTGTCAATGGCCACAGCAGGGGGCAGCACCGGTCGTTCGAGCAGCCCTGGGGCAAGGAGGGAGCCCCCTGGGGTCAGGTTGTCTATCCCGCGGGGTCTTGCCTAATCAGACCCTGGGTGGCACAGCCTTGTTTCTAAGGGCTTTTCCAGTGCCAGACACCTGTGGTTCTCTCTGCTCGTCACCGAGGCCTGGGACAGCAGCAGCACCCCTGGACCCGCAGCTCTGCAGAGAACGCCTGTGCTTGGTGAGCCAGACCGAGGCCTGCTCCAGAGGACACCCAATTATTATTATTATTATTAATTTTTAAATAATTTCTTTTTTAACTTTATTTATTTATTTTTAGAGAGGGAAGGGAGGGAGAAAGAGAGAGGAGAGAGAGAGAGAGAGAGAGAGAGAGAGAGAGAAACATCAATGTGCAGTTGCTGGGGGCAGTGGCCTGCAATCCAGGCACGTTCCCTGACTGGGAATTGAACCTGCGATGCTTTGGTTCGAAGCCCGCGCTCAATCCACTGAGCTACACCAGCCAGGGCCAAATTATTTTTTTAAGTGCGTTGCATGAGGTGGTTTTTATTCATGTTATTATCACATGTTCCAGATTTCTTTGTCACTAACGCTCTAGATTTCTCACACACAGAAGCAAGGTGAATCATAATTCTTTCTTTAGGAGAGAAATATCAGCAAAAGTATTCTCCATTACTATAAACTCCTTAGGGTGAATACAGCAAGAGCTTTAGGAACGTTTGCATCTTAGAACTTGCAAAAGAAAAGTCTAAATTGTGATACGTCTGGAGACATAGGGCCTCAAAGTCCTAAGTTGTGGGTTGCCCTCTCATTCTTCGGGTTTAAGCCTTCTGGGGCGCTGTCTCTCCTGGACAGAGCCAGACTCTCACAGCGGACGCCAGCCGCTTCTCCAGCCTGGCCCGGCCCGGCCCAGCACCGCCTGGGGAACACGAGTGGCTGGCCCTGGAGAGAGCAGGATGTGGAAGAGGCCCGTGTCTGCGCCCCAGTCCTCACGAGTCTGTCAGAGGTGCTGCGAGAGGCTGACATGGGACTCTACAGTGTCAAGTGCCCAGCAGAGGGCCTGGTGCAGGGTGCGGGGGCGGGGGGGGGGGTGGCTCAGTCCACAGCCTCTCTGGTGACAGTAGTTTCTGGCAGGGTTTCACCTGTTTCCATGGTCCTGGCTCTGATGGTGGAAGTAGCTCTTAGCAGATTTTGGGGAGGGGGCCCCACGGATAGTCCAGGGGTCCCCAAGACTGGAGAGTGCAGTGTGGCAGGCCCTCCCTGCCCTGCTTCTCAGCTGCCCCAAGGGAGCGACAAGTGACACTGTTCTCCCTGAGGAACAGCAGCAGGTGGCAGCTTTGGGGTGCGGGGTGGGGGAGCGGAGGGGACTTACCGAACACCCGCCGGCGGTTCTTGCGCAGGATGCAGGCCAGGTACTCCTTGCCCTCGGCGCTCTCGTGCCAGTCCGGGACGATCACCGAGCCCGAGGCCGGCGGTCTGGCCATGGCTAGGCACCCGACGGGGCAGGGAGAGGGCAGAATGCTGAAAGCGAGGGAAGGACAGGGTGACTGTCCCAAGCTGGACCTGTGAGCCCTCTTCACCCGCCGTCTGGCTCGCTCCCTCCTTGGGTGGTGGAGCAGTCTGGAGCACCAGCCTCCTTATTATCCCAATTACCATTTTGGGAGTCCACGCTCCGTTTCACTGTGTGTGTGGGGGGGTACTCATCCCCATCTACCTCTTATTACCCAGAAGTCTCTTCTACCCCGTGTTGCTCCCTGGTGGGGGGCAGCCATCCCATTTATTGCCCTGAGGGTATTTACACAGCTCCTCTCTCCCTTGTCACCTCTGAGAGGAGTCACACGGCCTTGCTTCTCCTCGGCCTTCTCGGTACTGACTCCCGGGGCCAACCAGCCCTCACCATCAGCAGTCCCCGCGGGCGAACAGGCCAGTGTGGTGAAGGTCCCTTTAAAAGTTCTTTCAGCGCTCCCGCCGCCCAGCCCGCGCCCAGCCCACCGGGCCTGCTTCCGCCCGGCCCTGGACCGGCTTCGGCTCGCGCCGCCCGACTGGCCAGGCGCCTGAACAGGAGGCGCATGTGCGGAGGTGTTGTCATGACAACGCTAGGGGGAGGGGTTGGGTTAGGTTGCAGAGTTCCGGGCGTGGGTGGTCTCTCCAGCATCTGCAGCTATCACCGCGCACCTTGGACAGGGCCTTCCCCTCCGACCAGGGATCCTCTTCTCCTCCAGTGCTTAGTCGGAGCCCCAGTTTTTCCTCCGAAACGGAATTAAATCTTCCTTCTGCAGGAGGAGGGGGTCCGCTGCCTCTCTGCGCCGGTTCCCTCTTCTATGAAGTGGAGGTGAAATACTGTTACCTCCTCGGGTTCTCTACACCAGTGCGCGGTCCACAGCAATGCTCAGTAAGTGCCATTACCGCTCCGTCGATCCTGCTGGGCAGGACCTCGAGACGAGCTGCACACCTCCGCCTTCACGGATGGGGAAGAGCAGCCCAGAGAGATCAAGGGATTTGCTCAAGATCTTAAAATATGAGTCAGAGGCCCACTGGGTTGTACTTGCCAGTCGTTTGTTGATTGAATGATTCATCCCATTTATTCAACAAAGAATGACTGAGCACCTACTCTGTGCTCAGCCCGGTCTAGCTGCTGGGAAGACATGGGTGAACAGGGAGTCCCTGCCCTGCCGGTGCGGACAGTTCGGCACCGAGGCCGTGAATCCTTCCGCACAGTCCCAGCGCTGTGCACGGGGCCTCTCACCTGGAGGTGCGTGCTCAGTAAATGCCTGTGTAGCTGGGCAGGGTGCAGGTGGGTCATTATGGAGAGGTTGCCCATTACACGTAACTTTTACCAGTGTCCTCTCACTATGCCTTCAGGTGGGGCAAATCGCTGTTGTGTAAGGAATAACCTATGAGTTAACCTTTACTAAAGGCCAGCTAAGTGCCAGACAGTGGGGGCTGTGCAGAGGTCACCTCATTTAATTCTGTAAAGAAACCTGTGTAGGAGATATTATTATCCCTCTTTTCCTTCACAGCCAAGGACACTTAGAGACAGCGTGATTGTCTGCGGTCACACCACACAGCTGGTCAGTGGGGACACTGGACTCAGAACCCAGGGTTTCTGCACTCTGAAGGATGTATCTGTTCAGCCAGATTGGGTCAGTTTGTTTTTTCAAACTTTTCCCCAGCCATCTTGGCTGGTGTGGCTCAGTGGATTGAGCGCCAGCCTGTGAACTAAAGGGTGGTCGGTTCGGTTCCCAGTCAGGACACATGCCTGGGTTGTGGTCCCCAGTAGGGGGCACACGAGAGGCAACCACAGTGATGTTTCTCTCCCTCTCTTTCTCCCTCCTTTCCCCTCTGTCTATAACTAAATATTTTTTAATTTTTTTTAGATTTTATTTATTTATTTTTAGATAGGGAAGGGAGGGAGAGGGAGAGAGAGAGAGGGAGGGAGGGAGAGAAACATCAATGTGCGGTTGCTGGGGGCTGTGACCTGCAACCCAGGCATGTGCCCTGACTGGGAATTGAACCTGCGATGCTTTGGTTCGCAGCCTGCACTCAATCCACTGAGCTCCACCAGCCAGGGCAATAAATAATTTTTAAAAATTAAAAAAAACAACAACTTTGCCCCAGCCCCTAGGAGGGCTGTTCCTAGTAAAGCTGGAAGCAGCCACAGGACCACAATCCCACCAATCATGGCGGCCCATTATGTCCAGTGGGGTGGAGGGGACGAGGACGTGTAAGACAGGGCTGCCGCTGCAGCTAGGCAGAGACGCAACAAACGGATGCAGGATTCTGTGCTTGAGACTCGCCCACACTCCCAGGTCACTCAGCTCCCCTTCCCGCGGCGCTCGCCGGATCTGCCTGGAGTCAGGGCGCTTCACAGCTGCGGTCTCTCCATGGGCCAGCAGTGCCGCGGGGGCCGGGCTCAGAACTGATTCACCTCTGGGTTTCCGGACCTCACACCCAGCCCTGTGCTGACCTGCCTTGCGGTGGACTCAGGGAGAGTGTGGGGAAATGCCGCAACTGGGTGGAATGCGCTTGCCCGTGACCCTGGAGGCCAAGGTGTGAAGTCTTTCCATGCACAGGGAGGGAGGCTGGTGGCCAGAGCTGGTGGCCAGAGGGTTAGTCTCAGGAATCAGTCTTGACTGCCCTCAGGAGCTCCTGGAGAGGACACTTCTGGGGGCATCAGGAGACTGTTCAAAACATGGGTTCTGGGGCTCCGTCCCCCAGAGATTCTGTTGCAGGGCATCAGGTGGGTTTGGGCACCTGCACCTGTTAGCAGAGCACTGGGCGGTCCAGGAAGCTAAGCTCCGTGCCAGTCTGCTAGGGCTGCCGGAACGGATCGCTGCGGACTGGGTGGCTTGAACAACAGACACTCACCTTCTCACAGTCGGGCAGCTAGGATCCAAGATCAAGGTGCCAGCAGGGTTGGTTTCTGGTGAGGCCTTTCCTTTTGGTTTGCAGGAGGCAGCCCTCTCACTGTTTCCTCACGTGGCCTTTCCTCTGTGCATGCAGTCTTTTTAAAAAAAATCTTATTTATTGATGAGAGAGAGAGAGAGAGAGAGAGAGAGAGACATCAGTTTGTTGTTTCATTTATTCGGACATTTATTGGTTGATTTTTGTATGTGCCCTGACCAAGGATCGAACCCACAACCTTAGTGCATCCAGATGATGTTGGGCCCCACAGTTGTTACCTCATTTAACCTTGTATCTCCTTGAAGGCCTATCTCCAAATAATTCCTATTGGGGTTTAGGGCTTTGACATACAGATTTGGTGTCAGGTACACAATTCAGGCCATAATAGGGTCCACAAACCTAATTTAGATCAACTTTGCTGCTGAGGACAGGAGGCCAGTGAGCAGTTGGGACCTGGCAGTGGGCTGGTCAGGACTGCATTTCAGAAGGATGCTTGTGAATCCATTTTGGTCTAGTGAGTTCCCCTCGCCTGTGCCCCTTGGACCCCTAAGTAGTATGTCGCCTTAGGCAAGTTGCTTCTCCTCTTGGGGCCTCCGGTGAAGCAGGTAACCATCCACCTAAAGGCCCCTCGAGGGTAGAACCTTCTGATTCATCCACTCTTTTCTCCACTGAAAGGTCTGGCCTTTCCCCCAAGTTGACTGAACACTTCCTGGGCAAGGGCCCACGAGGTCTTGAGAGGAGGATTAACAAGACAGGGAGACAGTCACCAGCCGCCAGGAGGTGGCCCAGGTGGGCAGACTCCCACACGGGCCGAGGCCCTGGACGGTAAGGGTAGGGGTGGTTGGGCTTCCCGGGTGGGCGGGCGGTCAGTGGAGAAAGGCCACGGTCAGATTTGTTTTCACCTCTTGCCCAGCCTGGGCAGCTGGTTCCGTCCGAGTTCCCCTGCTTGCCCTCTGGATGCCACGCAGGGGCCGGAGTGATGGTGTCAGAACGTAAGTCTGGGGGTACCACACCGGTGATTAGAGTCTTCGCCGCGCTCAGGATAAAACCCAAACGCCATGCCTTCAAGGCCTTCTGTGACTGCCCCCTGACCTCTCGCTTTTCATCCCAACCACCACCCTCTTCTCCTGGCCTTTTCCTGGGCCCCTGTAGGGCCTCCGCCTTGCAGTTCCGGGCACCTGCAGCTCTCCGCACCGGCCCCAGCGCCTCACGTGGGCGGCTGCTTCCCCCACTCGGGTCTCGGGCTGAATGTGGCTGCGCAGAGACATCTTCCCTGCCACCGCTCCATGACTTGCCCCAGGCTTGCTCTCTCACACCACCCTGTTCTTGACCTTGACATTTTAAAATGTATTGTCTGTCTCCCTCACCTGGACCTAAGCTCCCTGAGGACACTGGCCAGGGCTTTTTGCTGTCACACCCCTGTATTACTTTCCTAGAGACGACCGCAGGCTGGGCAGCTTCAGAGATGCGTGCAGTCCTGGAGGTTAGCAGCTGGAGGTCAAGGTGTTGGTGGGGCTAGTCCTTCTGAGGGCAGAGGGAGGATCTGCTCCAGGCCCACCTGCCTCTGCGGCGGGCGGGTGTCTGCACATTGCCCGTCCTCTGTACGAGTCCGTGTCCGGGTTTCCTCCTCCTATTAGGACAGCAGTCGTATTGGTTTAGAGCCCACCCCAATGGCCCGCTTTCACTTTAATCGCCCCAGCAAAACCCCTACGTGCGAATGTGATCACACACTGAGGTACTGGGGTGAGCACTTCAACATCTCAATTTTCCCCGGGGGGGTGGGGCATAATTCAGCCCCTGATAACCCCTACTCCCTGGAAATCTGTCTGACATATAGTAAAACTTTATAAAAAATGTGCTGACTGCAACTGGCTAGGGCTGCAGCTTGGAGAAGGGCCTTGCAGGGGGTGAGCCTGGAAGGGCCAGTGAGGAAGCAGGGCGGTCATGCCGGCATGAGTGGGCTAGGACATGCATGTATTTGCTGGATATTACGAGCACTCCCTGCTCAGGCCGGACACTGGGAGGAAATAGTGAAAGAGACTCTGACTTTGCCCTTGGGTATTCCACACGCTGCTGGGAATAAAATCGAAGAACTAGGCCACTACACTGAGAAGCAGGGCAGCGGGGTAGAGAGGAGGGGTGGATCCAAGATGTCCAGGTTCCATTTTTAAACACAGGATTTGGGTTTGGAGCTGCCGGATCATGCCCAGGGAGTTCTTGAGGCTGCAGAGTGCCAGGCCTGGGCTCGGGGCTCGGCAGCAAGGTTTGTGTCCTTGACCCGGACGGTCCTTGACCGGGACGGCCCTGCCTAAAACCCTCTGGCGCCTTCCCACTGCGCCCAGAGTAATGGCTGCGTGTCTCCGTGCCCCAGGGCTCAGTTCGAGCTCAGGGCACTCGCGATGAGAATGAACGATCCCCCGGCTCGTCCTGGGCTCTCCTGGTCCTCCAATGGGTGGGTGGCAGCCCGGGACCCTCGGCTCTGGGGCGGGAGGGAGCTTCCTTCCCCCTCCCAGACTTTTCCCTGGGAAGGCCTGGCCCTGCACCCTCCCCTTTCCTGCAGCGGGTAAGCAGACAAGTTCCCTGGTGGGGGCATGGCACACTCTACCAGCCTTCTAGACATTTACTTAAAACGTCAGCTGAGCTTTGTGCCTGCTGACACGGCCTGGGCCCAGAGCCCAGCCCCGTGGGGGAGACAAGGGCTTTCCCACAGGTGGGGGCGGGGGCAAAGAGGGCAGGCGGGCTAGCCTGGCAGTGGTGCTCAGAAGCATGGGAGATGCCGGAAAAGTGGTCCTACCCAGGCTTTACCAACAGAGGTGGGGTGGGGGCCGGGGAATGGGCATTTTCCTCCTCCAGCACATTGTTTCCTCCTTAAGGCTGCCTCTGACAGAGCACCCAGGACTCAAAGCCTTTCACAGGGCGCCCCCAGGTGGTATCTTGGGGAATCACATCCATTTCCTACATGAACAATTACTGCTGGTTCCAGCTAAACTGCTAACCTGTGAGGCTGGCAGCATCATTGCCATTTTACTGACAAAACTGAGTCTCAGAGGGGTGGTCAAAGTGACAGGGTCAGCTTCTTAACCAAGGTCTTTCCTGGCCCAAAGCTGGTGCCTATGTCCCTGTCCTGGGTCCTCTCTAGGAAGTCCTTTCGGAGCCCACAGAATGTCTCAAGGATTGCAAGGGCATCTAGGACTCCCTTGGCTCCATTCTTGACCTGATGCATAAATCAGCTGTCACCCCAACCCGTGCAATTATTCCTCTCTGCTTGAACATTTCCAGCAATGGGGAAATCATTACCTCACAAGGAACCCACAAGAATGCTAAACTGCTTCTGTCGGTACATTGCAGAAGCAGCAGGGGATAGTTGCAGCCGTGGAACAGAAGGCGGACTTTCTGGGGCGGACCTCAGCTGGCATGCTCCCCTCTGCCTGGGGGAGGTGGGAAGGCACAGGAAGGCCAGGGTAAACCCTAATCACGGGCAGCAGCACTATAACCAGGCAAGCCTGCCAGATGTGTGGGCGATGCCTCCGGTCCTGCCTGGGCCTGAGGGTGCTCAAAGCCCAGATCAGGGTGACTCAGGGCCATCTTGGGCCGGAGAGCTACTCGGGGTAGTGACACGTGCAGTCTGAGGTCCTTGTCTGAGGCGATGGTTCCTGCACCACCTTCTCAGAGAGCCAGCTGGAGAGGTGCTGCTGAGCCCTAAGAACAGTCTGGAACTGCCTTCTCGCCAGCTAGGTGCTGCAGCTCAGACCTGAATGTGCGCAGGCCTCTGGTCCTCTGGTACCCACGGGAGTGGCCAGGGCACGCTGGGCTGGGCCCACACGGGAAAGCAGTGGCTGCCAGCTCCTGCAAGGCCTTAGGTGAGTCATGCCTGTGTCTGTGCTGTGTTCCTAACATTAAGGTTTCTCCCCAAGTCAGCCAGTCCCCGCTTCTCTGCTCCCACACGCCCTCCGACCTGGGGCCGATCACAAGGCTGATGATCCACGTGTACTGAGTGCAAAGAATGAAACAGCGCTCAGCACAAAGCCCCAGGGGTGTTAAGAAACCGGCACATACTCAGCCAATCGCTTCCCGGCTCTTAGCCACCTGCCCTGTGGCGCCTGGCTCTTCCTAGGTCCCCACACAAGTGGGCAGACTCATGGTGTCGGCTCCCAACTGATACTTCCAAACGGAGAGCCAACTAAATGTACCTTTGAATGTACCAGAGGCCGAATGTGATTGGCGAACCAAAGAAGAAAGCCTGAAAGGGAAATTAAACTACGGGCAATTCTGACCTGATTTATGGCAGCAGCTGCTACTTGCTGCTCTCGAGAGGCAAAGGCCTCCGAGGTTCTCACGACATCTAAAAGATGACCCCACCAACTGCAGACACGCATAATCCTCAGTATGGGCATGCGCCCAGCAATGCCCACCCTGAGCCCAGCCCATTCCTTCAAGGTCCCGTATCCTCCTCAAGGGCTACTTATAAATAAGAGCCACCATTTTTTTTTTTAGCACCTACTCTGTGCCAGGTGCCGGGCTAGTGCTTTTCACATCCGCCTTCACTTAATTCTCACGATGCTATAAAAGAGAAACTACTACATTCATGGGTGAGGAAATTTGTATCCAAGACTGAACTGTACGTGGGGGCAGCGGGGAGCAGAGCCCAGGCCTCTAGGCCTCAGGGCGGTGTTCTCAGGCACCAACCACTCCCTGTGTTGTTTCCAGGCCCCAGAGGCCAGCCGTGGTGTAGATGCCACCCTGGTCCCCGGGGCTCTGCTCCAAGCTCAGCAGCTCGCTTGGGTCCCCACTGCAGGGGGCACTGAGGCTCTGAAACACCACGTCCTTCCAGCACTACGGAGAGAGCCGTCTCGGTACAGAGTGACGTTGTCCTCAGGGAAGGGCAACGCCCCGCCTCCACCCCCACACACAGCCCTCCTGGAGAGGAACGGCTTTCCAGCTACGCTTCCAACTTCACTCGCGCTCCATCACGGCTTTGTTTCCTTTCTACCAATAAAACAGTTCAGACAATTCTGTCTATTTTGTTTTATTTGTTAAATTGCTAAAAAGTCATCAGGGGAAAACAACAAAAAAATGAAATTGACAGATTTAAATATCAATGAAATCATATCCACGTTTCATTCCTACACAAGTATGTGCCTAAAATGATCCTCTCAGGGTGAGCCCCCCGGGACCCCCGAGTTCTGTGGGAAACATCGCTCAGCACCAGCTGCGCCAGGGCACACCGGATGTGCGATGGCAAGGACCCTGGTTGGTGGGGGGGAGCAGAGCTGGGAGAGAGGAGCAGAGCTGGAGGCAGAGCCTCGGATTTGCTCCGATTTGACAATGACCATGGTGAGAGGGGGCCACTTACTGGTGACCATGCAAACATGCCTTCTGTAGTTTGTGGGGGGGCTGCACAGGACCCGGCCTCGGAGTTCCGCCTCCTCGCCCCGGGTGTGTTCGGCTCCTCCCCACGGACTTGCGCGCTGCTGGCCAGAGGCCACAGACAATGCGGAGCGGAGCACAGCACCATGCCGGGGTCGCCACGTGGACAGGGACAGACAACCCAATCAGGAGTATCACTTCCAAGGGGAAGGAAAGAGGCAAAGCAGAAGGAAACCCAGGAAGATACAGTGAAAAGGAAGGGAGGCATCCCTTTATTCTCCGTCAGCTGGTGGCCTTCTGTCCCCCAACGTCAAGATTTGTTGTTTTTTTTCTCCCTTTTTTTAATTTTAAAGAGGTCCAACACAGTTCTTAGGATAGTTCATAGTTTCAGCTCTTGATATAAAAAACTCAAACATTAAAGTCAAATCAATCCACAGTGGGCAGGGAAGAAAATAAGCCCAGTAGGGCCTTACAACTAAATTTAAGCTTTTTCGGCACCTACTCTGTGCTCCCAAAATGTGGGGTGGGCGGAGGTCATGGAGCCCCCCACCCAAACACAGAGGAAGGGTGAAAATATGAACAGAAACGCAGGACCCTCTCTGCCGCCCAGACTGCGACAGGAGGAAGCAGGAAGCTCCGTCCGAGAGGGCGGGCAGAGACTCAGACTCGCACCCGGGGTCAGCGAGGTGGCCGGGAAGTCAGTGTGACGCGGGGGCTCTCCAAGGCACACTTGCAGGAATGGAAGGGGTTAAAGCTTCAAGTAGAAACAAAATGTACTTTAAATACTTAAATACTGATAAATATTTCCTTTAGGTGCTCCTGAGGGTTTAAAAAAAATATTTTGTCTCATTTTTCTCAGTGAGTTTTAAGACAAAATTGGCATCATGTCCAAACCGGAGATGTGGTTCAATCAGATCCGCCCGAAGCATCCGAGGCGCTGTGCAAACGGTCACCTAGGCCGAGACGCCTGAAGTTCCGCCGCGCGTGGGGCTTCTTGGGCCCGAGGAGGCCATCACCTTGACTGCGCTGAGTCGCTCTCCTAAGGTACATGCTCACGGTGCCCCAGAGCCACCGAGACCAACACCACCGGGCAGACATGAGGCAGATTTTTCTCGAAGAGCTGTAAACAGACGGTCTGGTTCCGAGGGGCGCGGGCAGTCCGGGGATGCCAGGGAGTTCCGAGGAGCCGGGCTACCTTCTAAAGGAATCCTCTCCGTTACCTGCCTACTTGGGGAAAGCAGAAGGATGGACAAGTTAACAGCTCGCTTAGGAAGGCCAGGGGACAAAAGGAAAGTTACGAAGTTGGGATTCTGCGCTTTCAGGCTTCCAGACACGTTCTAGTGAAACGGGAGCTGAGCTCGGAGGCACGTCCCACGCACGAAGGCCACGTCCTACACGAGGTTCGGCAACAGCAGCGATGCCCAAGTGGCTGATCTTTCAGGCCAGCTTTCTCTCGTGAGGAAGGACCCCACGTGATCTAACAGTCTTTGCCAGAAAAGGACCGGCAGCAGCCCCGGAGCAGGGAGTCTGGAGAGCTGTGTGTTGAGCTACGAGCAGCTGGACACCATAGTAAGCAGGCACGTGGCAGTCCCCTCCTCTAAGGGAGCACAGACGGCCGATTCTGGAACACACGCCCCTCTCTGTGAGCGGGCCCTCCCTGGGCCTGGCGCCAGGGGGCTCCCACCAAGACCACACTGTGAAAGCTAATGGTTAGGGGAAAGGACTCGGCAGGACACAATGAGACGGGAGTGAACACACCTATCGGACAGACTGCGGAGTGCGGGCTGGAAGCCAGGAGGACCCAGGGCCAGCCGCGGGCTGTGCTTGGGAAATGCTAACAAGAAAAAGAGAGTGCGGGGATGGGAAATGCAATGTTTTAAAATTGAAATCTTAAAAGACAAAATAAAAATCCTCTTTTCATTGATGAGAAGTCATGAGAAATTATCAAAAATCACACTTAAGTGGTTCCAACGTGTCCAGGCCATGGTTTTAGAGACCATGTAACTTCCTGCATCAACCAAAGAAATTCCCCAGCTGGTTGCAACTTATCTCAGAAATGACATAAAAAACCCCAAGCCTTGTCTGGGCGACACAGGAACAAGATGATCACAAAGAAGGAGCTGCTCTCAAGGTCAAACATGCATCAAAGAGGTCAAGCCTCCTGATACTCAACCCAATCACTGGGTAACAGCCAGGCAGAAAAATGCATGTCACAGCAAGGGCAAAAGTAATTTCTAGAAGAAACTGTTGATGGGTGTCCACTGTGCTTTGGAAGTAAAAAGCGGCTCATAAGAAAAAATAGTAGATGATGCTTCAAGGATCTCTCATGACACTGGCATCTTGAATTCCCTACCGGCCCCTTAGTGACACCAGAGAAAGCATTCCAGAAATATTTCAAGAGATCTCTCTGGGCACTTGAGCTTTTATAAAAGAAACAAAAAGTGAGAAAGGTTTTAGAGCTTTAAAAAATCTCCATATGCAAAAACAAAACAAAACAAAACAAAACAAAACGAAAAACAGAAAAGAAAGGCAGCTTCTGAAGATCAAGTTTTAAGGGGAAGGAAAGAACAAGTGTGGTTTTTGGCAACTCGTAATCAAGCACGATTGTCAGGAAATTCCACGATCAGACACCGAAATGTTTTGTGAGACACAGAGGGAGCACTCAAAATACCCAAAGACACCAGGTGGACATGTGTTGCTGCACACACGCTGTTTCACGAGGGGCCTGGCACACAAGGATGGACCACAATCCTCTGCTGGGCAACTGCCCCCGGTCCCAGAGGGCAGAAGGAGCCAGGCGTAAGACACCGCCACACAGAGAGGCTGCCACAGTCCTCCGTGGTCTGAGAGAAGGGGAAGGACAGCTCTCTACGGGTTGCGTTTACCCTGCCAGCGCCAGGAGCACACACATCTGAAACCTCCGCCGGCGCGCCTGCCGCAGGCCCTTCCTGTGTCTGACTCTGAGGAGGCCACGTGAAGATTTACAGCGGGCTCTTCGGTTCCTCCAGGAGAGTTCTGGTGTTAGTCTGTTCCCTAAATTCTTGGTCTTGTTACCAGCAAAGTAGAAAAAGGCAGCACAGCCTCTGCTAAAACACAGCAACGGTTTTGTCTGAACCAGGACAGAGATCTCTCCCTCTTTGTAAACAGAGTTGGCTATATAATATATATTTATATATAATTTTTCTTAATGGAGATTTGACCCCAGCCTGGAGTGAGTGAGGTTGGGAATTGGGGTTTTGGTTTATGGGAGTAATTTTGTCCTTTGTTTTTCCTAGTTCTCAGTCCAAACACTTGCACGCTGGAAAGTTCCAAATTAAAAGCCACGGAAAGGGAAAGGGGTTTACAACATATTATCTCTTTGCTCGAACAAAGTACAAGGCGTTTGTTTTTGGATAGTACTTCACATTCTGTTTTTTGTCCATGAGTCCTCCAAATATGATGAGTTCGCCCCTGCCTTGTACCACTGTATGCAGGCTGGTTTCAGGAGGTCCGACCACAGAACTGCTGTTAAATACTTTCCACTTGACCCGCCCCTTCTCCTTGGTGTCTTTGATGTCCAGCACATACATCTGCATGGGCTTGCAGTTCATACTCTGGTACAAGGGTTTGCCAACATTCAGGGACTGTGGAGGGTGGTGGCCCAGGCGGCGGGCAATAGGAGGTAAGGAATGTCCATCTCCTTGGGCAGGCCCCGGCCGGGGAACAGGCCCCGTCTCCCCACTGCCCAGGTTCTGACTCCCTGGGGAGCCTGGAGAAGACCCCAGAGGAGGACTTAGTGCTGCAGAGGCCGAGGGGCCTTTGGATGACATTGCTTTGATGGCTTCCAGGCTCCGCCGCAGGGCGCCCGGGGAGACGGCCCCTGCGAGGGCAGTGGCCACGTGGGGCGGGGTGTGCACGCCGTTCGCCTGCTCGGGAAGGTGCCTCACACTCCCCCCGGCTGTCCTGCTGTCCACACCGTCCACGTGGCTGCTACTGGAAGCGGGTTTCAGATCCCAGTTCAGATCTATTGATCCCAATCTCAGATCTTTCTGATCTGGTAGTGACCCTCGTCTCGGGGCCAAAGAAAGGCCCATTTTTAGGTCATACCCCTCGGTGGTAGACGGAGTGCTAGGAGACATGGCCTGGACAGGGCTGTCCAAGGAAGAGCCACCTACGGCTGCCGTTCCTGGAGATAAACTGCCACCATTGAGGACGGGAGAGCCATCTCCTCTGGCTGGGGAAAGGCTTCCTTCCCGGGAACCCGAGGGGGTCTGCCTTTGAGCTCTGGGTCGCAGTGTTCCCCAGCGGCCGTTCACACAAGGGGCTTCATCCATGCTCCTTACTGGCGACTGCGAGCGGTACTCTCGGGTTTCGGGGACCAGGGCTGGAGGGGTGGCACTGATAGGTGACGGGCGCGAGTTCAAACTGGGGCTGAGTGGGGCTCTTCCGCTGGGGGCCTGGCTGAAGACCACCACACACTGCCCCACCTGGAAGGCAAAAGACTTAGGCTCAGTTCTGATCATTCACTCAACTATCAAACATTTTATCACGAGCATCCGGGACACGCCAGGCATTCTGCCGGTACCTGAGATACAGAGATGAAAATACCGTGGTCTGCCTTCCAGGTCAGAAGGGCAGACAGACATGGGAGCAATCTGTTGCTCTAGCATGACATGTGCTAGCGTTAGAACTATGTTTACAGAACAAGGACAGAGTGGGGGGAAGAATCAGTTTGTGTGTGTGGGATCCTTAGGGATCCTGCAGAAAATTCTGTAGACAAAGAGATGCTTAAAGCTGGGACTTAAAGGATGAGGGGGGCCCACTAAGTTTTTCTTCCAGTGATTCATAATGTGAGAAACTCCCAAGGAGCCATGGTTAAGATCTACCTATTTTGTGACATCCAGATGTCTTAAATTTCCATACAAATTCGCTTGGGAATCTGACAAGTTAACTTGGTTTTACATTTTGGGACCTCTCCTCCTGCTGGCCCGTCAGTTCCCCGCTTACCCGGCAAGCTGGGTGGCACCACAGCTCCGGGGCCCCATGGTCTTCGTTTTCCACCTTGAGTGGCTGCCAGGCCCAGGGACTCGAGTGCATGTGCAACAGCCAGGCATCCTTGAAGAGCTGTAAGAGAAGGACCACCAGCAGGACTCAGGGGCAGGTCCTGCTACAAAGCATACACAGACCTGAAATCTCAAGGTTGTGCCACCTGGTCTCGAGAGTGTATGGGCTCTTCAGAAAGAATAGCAAAATCTTTGTTACTCATTCATCTGTGCCTTTGCTCATTCACATATTATCATTGGCCAGGCACAAAAAATTGTGCTTGTGACCCATGGAATCGATTTCAAGTGGTTTTGAATTTTGAGGTTGATAATAAGTCTCCATAACTTTCTGAACCAGTATTCTCTATCTCTCTTTTTTTAAAGATTTCATTTACTTATTTTTAAAGCAAGGGGAAGGGAGGGAGAAAGGGGGAGAGAAACATCGACATACGAGAGAAACATCAACCTGGTGCCCCTCGCATACCCCCAGCGGAGGGCCAAACCCGCAGCCCAGGCACATGCCTTGACTGGGAACTGAAAGACATTCCGGTCTGTGGGACGAGGCCCCACCCACTGAGGCACACCAGTCAGAGCTGAACCTGCTTTTACGCCCCACTCCTCCTTGAACAGAGTGATAGCAGTAAACCTTACAGCCTAAAGAGGAAGTGGGAGTAGGAAAAAATACAGATATGAATATCCAAGAGATTACTGTTTCTGATGACAAGAACTCCTTACTCCCCCCACAAAAAAAAAAACAAAAAACAAAAAAAAAACAGAGAAAATAGCCAGAAACTACAAAGACTATATACCCAAAGGGAAAGGTGCTCTTAATGAAAATGCCACAGAAAGCCCTGAGAAATGGGAGACAGGGAGGCAAGTCTGAATACTCAGCAGCATGCGCATGGGAACGCCACAGCAGCCATACTCACAGCATTGGGACCGCCACATCCTCCAAGGATTAATATAGTTGCATCATCTATGACAATCTGGGGACAGAAAGAAATTTAAAATGAAAGCATAAAGACACAGCATCTGACCTATGCTTCAGCCGCATATGAAACAGCCTACCCAGCTCCGAAGTGAGAGTCTTACTTCTAGTTACCATAATAAGCCCTGTATTCTCCCATGTCGTTTTGGTCCCTGTGAACAAACTGACGATTCACCTGAATGGAAATATTCTGTTGATCAAATATTAACATGAGAGTGCCAACCACATAAAATGCAGGGTTCTCTTAAGAAATGAAACAGCAAAGTAAATGCTTTAGGAGAGGCACAATATAAAGCCACTAAAAATACATGTAACCCATTAGAAGTTGAAAAGCAAATACCAGCAAAAGTAATGACAAATTCTCTTTCGGCTTATGCGTGCTAGCATCTTACTTGACTCCCTCCTCCCTCTCCCGACCTAACTGACAGATGCTACTACAGTGCTTGCTGAGTAGTTATTTGAATTCCTGAGCACCTGAGACTGGCCACCTCGAGGATGAGGACTGGGGCCAGAGATGTTCGGCTTGGACCACGCCCACTGCTCGAGGTCGAGGACCCAGACATCATTGCTCCTGTAAGACAAGGACACAAGGGTGAAGGAAGTGGGAGCTACTGGGGACCCTAAGAACTGATATAAATGATGTTACACTTACAAAGATGCCCCATAAAGTGCCGTGTTCATAGTTAGCACTTAAAACTATATATTTTTCTCTTTAAAAGATTTTATTAATTTGTTTTTAGAGAAAGGGGAAGGGAAGGAGGAAGAGAGGGAGAGGAACATCAATGTGTGGTTGCCTCTCGTACGCCCCCAACCAGGGACCTGGCCCGCAACCCAGGCATGTGCCCTGACTGGGAACAGAACCAGTGACCCTGTGGTTCACAGGCTGGCACTCAGTCCACCAAGCCACACCAGCAGAGATGAACTGTATTCTTCTTCTGCTTCTTCCCTTGGAACCCGTCTCTAGACCATCAGACGTTTGCTCTTTCCACTGACCCATAAGGCCTTGCTTATGTGAGTCATGCCTGTTGTCACACACTAATACCTAAAGAGTTAACAGATGACAGCAGGAAACGGCTACTGGCCAAGGTACAATCTTTCTTTTGAAAAATTTATTCACTGATTTGAGAGAGAGAGAGAGAGAGAGAGAGAGACAGACAGACAAACATCAATTTGTTGTTTCGCTTATTTATGCCGTCATTGGTTGATTCCTGTATGTACCTGGATTGGGTCAGAGGGGTGGTATCGAACCTGCAACCCTGGCATATCAGGACAACACTAATCAACTGAACTAACTGACAAGGGCTAAGATACAGTTTTTCAAAAGCAAAAATCAGAAGGAAGAAAAAAATATTCAAATGGCAGGAAATAATGATTTACCGATTCTGGCTACAAAAAGCAATTTCACCATGGCTAATGAGAGCTGTGGTTTCATCAAGGACAAACTGTCCTCTCCAGCCCCCAAGGGACTAGTGTGGCAAGGACAGACTCCTAGACGGCATTTTCTGCTTTATGGTCTGCTCTGTAAAGTTGTTTATTCACACACTGGAACACAGCAGTGAGAGCTCTGATACCTCAAGCCCTTAACCCCCTCACCTGGAGGAGAGCTCAGACTGCCAAATCAGATACACAGCGGTTCAGAGGGAGGACTCCAGCTCTGGATTCCGGCCTGAGCTGGTCGGTTGTGGCCAGAGGTGGGGAGGACAGTGCGTATGAAGAACAGCCTAACAGAAGTGTGTCAGACCTGACACAGTTTTCTTGCTCCTACCCACTCCCCCAGCCCAGCCCAGCCCAGCCCATCTGGAGTGAACCATCTCCACTTGTCCTGTTATTCTACCTCTCTCCTTCTCTGAAGCCCCAAAGGGCACAAACTGGGCACAGAGGAGAGCCAGACAAAGTACTGTTTCTTGGAAGGGGACCTTCTGCAGGCACAGGTAGAAGCAGACTAGGTGGAGGTTCCATCAGAATTTGATCCCACTGAAGAGAACCACACCAAACAAAAAGCGATGACACAGCCCTGATTCTATGGAGGAAGTTTCCCAACTGTACTGGTGCGTGACTAGGGGATGAAAAGTTGGAATGTCAAGGTCAGATAACTAACTGGATTAATCTGAGACATGTTCAGCAACACTGACCCTGACTGGTTCACTTTTCTGACCTGTTATTCCCAGGGCTACTTACCTTCAGGACAACAGACAGCAAGGCAAATATACTTACATTTGCCGAGATCCCAAGGAGCCACCAAAGACGATCATTTTGTCCTCTATCACACAGGAGGAATGGCCGGCCATGGGAGGCGGCCCATGGGTTGTCACAATGCAGTTCCACCTAATATAAAGTCAGGAAGCCGAGAAGTCAGGAACCATCTGGACCCACGGCACTCCTGGGAATTAGTAGCCAAAACCAAAGAGATCCCTGTTCTTAACCAGCCCACCCATATTTCTTAGAAGGGGAATGTGCCTCTCCCACTTTTTCCCTTTGGAATGAGAGTTCTTAACTTTAGGTTTTAAGGGGTCCTGGCAGCCCTCTGAGACTGTGGGCAAAAATATGTGCATGTGTCAATTGTTTTTTCTGGGGAAAGCGTCCATAGTTTTCACCAAATTCTCAAGGAGATTTCTGAACACACAAAAAAGACAAGGAAATCCACTCATTTAAAATATTTTATTCCAGATTGGAAAGAAAGATCTTATCTTTGCGGCTTACCAGTTTTTAGAGGGCGAGTAAGTGTGTATTTCATCAAAGAACCTTTCTGGCTGGTGCAGGGGGTACGGGCTTGGCCGGGTCCAGCCGCCGAACAGCACCAGCAGGTCCTTGTACACGACCAGAGTCGCTCCGGCTTTGGGGGAAGGATAAGACCCTGGGAGAAGCCAGTGACAGCAGAGTTAGGATTCACGGTCTTACGACAAGCCACAAGTAGGCTGTCGGCAGATCACCTTCCCACGGAAGAGTGACCAGAGGAGCCAACGCCACAGAGCAGAAGAAGGGGGAGAACAGAACTGGGTGTATAGGTCTGAAAGAAAACCATCACCAGTTTATACATCTTTTATAATTAAAACAGCGAAACCTGAGTTAGAAGAAAGTTCCTTAGCCTCTCCAGACTTGGTTTCGCTCACCTGAAATTAGGGATGAGAGTACCTAGCTCATTAGACTATTTTGCACATTAAATAATACATTCAAAGCACCGAGCATAGTGCCTGGCACACAGCAGGTGCTCAATAAATGCCAGCCTCTCTTGCCCGTCCCATCCATAAGCTCAACAGAGAGTACAAAGGAAGAATGTAAGGGACCCAGAGAGGAGTATGCATGGAGGCTGGATACCTGGATGCCACTTGGAAATAACGGCTGCTACCAAACACAGGCAAAAAGGAGGCAGAATGCAGTTCTCATTTGTCCCATAAATGAAATGTTACCACAGTGACCTCCGGGCCCTTAGCTATGGGCCTCACTAGCACCCGTGGGAGCAGACTTTCAGGGCTCGATATAAAGGTATTCCAGTGAAACGGCAAGCCTTTATACCAAGAGTGGCTGCTAAACCCTCCAGGCTGGACCTCTGAGCTAGCTATGGTGACTGAATTTTGAAACAATGGACACCTGGCGTACGCTGGAACACTTTAGGAGTGACACCCATCCCACAGGAGCACACTTTTCAGACTTTTTGGTCTCTGACAGAACAATCGCCATTTCTCTCAGCCCGCTCCCCCACACGCCGCCTTGACTCTGCTCAGGACCAATGGCCAGGGTCAGTGAACACTGGGCTAGTAAAAAGAGTTTGCTTTGCTGTTACTACGGGTGCAGGATCCATTTTTCAAAGGAAATCTTAGGCAGAAGGAATTGCAATAGTACAACACATTAATCTGACAGCAGCTGAGGCGTTCCGATTTAGGTGGACAACTTGGCTTCCCCCTTCCGCAAGGGGTTATGGGAATGTGGTTTGAAACGCCCTACTCAGGCTGCTTTAAGGGCGTCAATGACAACGTCCTGAGGTTGAAAAGGTAAAGCAGAGGACTGTCTTCCCCGGAGCCAATGCAAGAGTGACTTCACACGACTTACTGAGGAGAGTCTTTGGAACACGGTGTGAGCATCTGAGAGCATTATGCGGCACCCGCTGTTCTGAAAGGCTTCTCAAGGGAACGGCAAGAACCCGCCGCAGAAACCAGCCCTCCCCAGGAGCGGCTCTCGGGGCAGCCAGCTCTTGCCGCCCTCACCCCCCGCCCCTCAGGAATTATGACTAGGGGTCTTCTAGATCTGTAGTCCACAGAACTGCAGATTACTAGTTAAAAGCTTTTACCTTCCTAGGAGGAAGGCCCCTAGCCCAACTAGAAAACCTAACTAAATGTAACAGTATAGTTGAAATGCTAGTGTACCCAAAGATGATTTAATCTGTGATGTGGCACATAAAGCTTCAAGTTCTTGTTCTTACCCTGGAATTCATAAGTACGGTGAAAATGTTAGAAAAAGCAAATAAAATATGTAACAGACTTCACCAGAATAATAATTTAAAAACCTTCCAGACCAAAATTTGGGTTTGGATTTCAGATACTGGAAATCCTGGCTTTTAAAATCAAGTGTATAAAGTGAAGCAGACCATGGGTCCACAAAATAGCAAAAACATAGAAACAAAAAAGTTTTAATGTAAACTGGGCAATTTGTATCAAAAATTTTAAGTGTGTATGCTCTGAATCAGCAATTTCACTTCCAGGGATTAATCTAATGAGATAGCTGGGCAAATAAAAAAAAGAATTAGATACAAGTATATTCATTTGCAGTGTTTAAATAGGTCAAGAAATATCCATATAAAATAATACTACGTGGCAATTAAAAATTGTGTGTCTATTTGATGTGAATAATTCCCATGCTCTTTAAGTGAAAACTGAAAGTAGCAAGTGACAAAATGCGAAATAAAAACAGCTAACGGTTGACGGGCACTATGCTCTTAGCACTGCCCTAATGCTTTACACATCATTCATTCATTTAATCCTCACAAAAACCTGATGGATAGGCCCCATTGTACTCTTCACTCATTAGATAAAGAAACCGAGGCACAGACTGGTTCATTTCCCCAAGGCCACACATCCAGTTAGGGTCCGAGAAGGAATCTGAATCTAGGCAAACTGAGCCCACTTACAATAATCTACATGAGTTCACTGCACATACAGAAAGTCTAGAAGGTCACCCAAGTGCCCACCAGGAGAGGAGTCAATAACACTGTTGTACATATACACAAAGGAATACTACTTGGCCGTGAAAAAGAAAATTCCACCCTTTATGACAGCAGAGGTAAACCTGGAAAACATTATGCTAAGTGAAATAAGCCAGTAAGTGAAAGACAAGTAGCATATGAATTTACTCATGTGTGGAATCTACTGACCAAACTGAACTACCGAGGAAAACAGAGACCGACTCATGGAGAGCAGGATGGCAGCTCCTGGGGAGGCATGGATAGAAAAGGCAAAGGAACTGATGGGCACAGACAAGTGTGGTGATTGTGTGGGCGAGGGGGTATGAGGGAGATAAATGGTAACAGAAAAAATACAATCAAAATAAAAATAAAGTAAAAAAATAAAATAAAGGAAGTCCAGAAGGTCAATAAATAGTTGATCTCTCTGAATGGTAAGATTACAGGTAATTTTCACTTTATTCTTTGTAAAAGCCTTTCTGTATTGGCTAAACTTTGCAAAAAGTGATACATGTTCATTGATTTGACAAAAACAAAAGTATTTCAGTTGTTTAAAATGAGAACTATGAATTCAATGCAACTCCCTTTTCCTACACCTTCCCTAACCTCACTCCATCTGAGAAGCCCCTGTGAGAGGCTCTGTACAATGAATTCTCAATTGCTTATTCAACATTCCAAAATCTGCAGGGTTCTGAAAAATCTTTTTTTTTTTCTCCAAAACTCATTTGGCAACAAAACTTGACCTGAAATGATGAAGCTATGGATTGTCTTTATTTAATCCACTCAGTATGAGTATTCATTATGAGTTACTGCAGAAATACTAGTAAGTTTGATTAGAGGGTGCTGCTCCAGACCCCACTAGAAGTATTATAAAGGCATATGCATCATATCCCATTTTTAATTAAACCTGAAACACTCTGAATTCCAAAACACAATTAGCACCAAAGGTTTAACATGAGAAACTATGGTTAAGACCGCAGGTTCTGAAGCCAGCCTGCCTGGGCCGGACCCTGCAACCAGGTAGCTAGCTGGGGAAGGCCAGTGCAGATCTCCCTCTGCATCAGCGTCTGTATCTGTGAGATGGAGCGATGACAGCATCTGCCTCACACGGTGGTTGTGAAGACTGAGTAGATTAAATCATGCAATGTTTTTAGAACAGTGCCTGCTATGGTTATTAAGCAGGCACTTCAAATCCCCGTGAAGTTAATACAAGGTCAATTAGCTGTACACAGCTGACAGTACTGCCATCCACATGGAACAGTTTGAGAACAGAACATATTTAACTACTAGTATATGGTTGGAGCATTCCTGGCATAATAATTTACTTAGCTCAAGAAAGTATAATAGAAGTAAAATTGAAACTGACAGTAGATGATATGAAAGGGAAATTCCAAAGTAAACCAAATACATCAAAAGTGATTTAGAAACAAACAATGGTTAACATAAGACTAGTTTCGGTTTGCTCTTTTTCATTTGTCGCCTTTAACATCTTTTCAAACAATTTATAAGGCAAAACAAGTTAATGTTTACCAGTTCTGGGTTCAAAGAGATTACAAATGTACTATAAGAATACATACCTCTTAAGGGGAAAAACTATTCAAAGAATGAAAAAGAGTGTTGGGCCCTGGATGGTGAGACTCAGTGGGCTGAGTGCTGGCCTGCTAACCAAAAGATTGCCGGTTCGATTCCCAGACAGGGCACATGCTGGGGTTGTGGGCCCAGCAGGGGGCACATGAGAGGCAACCACACACTGATGTTTCTCTCTTTCTCTTTCTCCCTCCCTTCCCCTCTGTCTAAAAACAAACAAACAAACAAACAAACAAACAAACATTAAAAAATAAATTTATAATCCTTAAAATATGAAAAAATATAAAAAGTGTTGGTAAAACATAATTACCTATATCTATATATCACGTGATACCATAATCACACCAGTGAACCAGGGAACACACTACATCCATGTTACACCTGCACTGCCCAGCACAGTCACCAGTAGCCACACGTTGCTAGTGGCTATCGAATTAAAAAGCACAGATGTAGAACATTTCTATCATTACAGAAAGCTCTGCTGGACAGTACTACTTTAGACAAAGGATTTTAATTTTAGAAACTGAGCCTATGTTTACAGGGAATGGAGAAGGTGGAGGCATAAATGGGGTGACTTCATTAACTTCTAAAGACATTATATTACTATTATTTATAACTATTACTACTGTTACTATACTAGTGATAATGACTAATATTTATTGAACTTTTTTTTTTTTTACCACATGCTAGGCAACTTTCTAAGTGCTTGGCATGTATTAACTAAATCTTTCCCAAACTCCTAGTTTTAGTCCCATTTTATAGTCGAGAATACTGAACCATGACTCATTTAAGTAACCTGCCCAAGATCACAACAGAACTAGTAAGTGGTAGGGCCAGGATTCCAGTCCATTTACTCTGAACTTAAAACTCATCCTCTTAACCTTTATACCCAAGTGAGCTTCATGTGTACAGAGACATTCATTTTGAGTAGCTGCCACAAACAAGTCTGGTACCTTAAAAGGTCTGAGTGTTTAAAAGCTGAAAAGGTCTTTGCTAAAGTTTTAATTAAGTAAGCCACAGACCTAGAGTAGACAGATAAGTAAATTGAACAGACGGTTATTCTTAGGAACTCTTTTCTCCACAGGGCCCTGGGT